CAAAATGAAGTTACTGCCAGGTGTTCAGCGAGTATCCTTCAGCTCCTGCTTTGTCCAACTCCCACTAGTGCTGTTTGTGAAAATATAAAGGACCTCCTGAAGTTGGGGATGTGGAGAGCCTCTGGCAGAGTACACTCCCATTCAGTTTGGAAATGCTCAGAGTGGCCTGTGCTACAGACGCTTGCCAGCTTTTTAGGAGTGTAATCAAGGTCCTTGCTCTGTAATATAGCTGAGCACTGCAAGCCTGACATCTCCTCAGTTTCATTGTATTTCTGAGGAAGAATTATTGGAACAGATGAAAGCTGCAAAGCCTCTGAGATACTCTTCTGATTGCCTAGGTTTGTTTGGGGTTTTTGTTCTTTTTTTTTCATGTTAACTCTATTGTTCAGTTTAAGCAGTTCAGAGCACTTTCCACTAATACCAGGAATTGTGTAGCAATTTGGGGCTTCTAAAGTAGCCTGTAAGCCAACCTTACAGGGCTATCTACATACGCTGTAGACAGCGCTGTGTCTCCTGTGATTCAGAATCAGGCAGGAGACGCTAGTCTTCTCAGGTGGACTTAGTCTCTTGAGCGTGATCAAAGGCTACCCAATACATTTGATTTGCGTTGAATTCAACACTAGTTACAGGAGGCACAGCTGTTCTTAGTCAGAAATATGACAGGAGAAAGATAAATATAGTCTGCTCTGACAAACAGCTTAGCATTTGTATCACTCATCCAAAAAATGGGCAGTCTTCAAATCTGCACTTGCTGCTTCCCAACAATCTCCTGTAACTGCTGTTCTGTGCTTTATCACATCCTTCCTACCCAATCATGCAGAACAGCAGAGCACTCAGTTGCTATGGAGAGAAGAAGCTAGAGGAAGAACCGATGCTAACCCAGGGAGAGTAAGGCTGTCCTGGAAAGCACAAAGAGAAGTCCCAGTTCCTTCTTCAGGGATTAGTTTATGTTTGTTTTTTTTTTCTTAAATGATCAAGTAAAATGCATAAACTAGTTGAAAGGCAAGATCTGAACAAATACTGCTGCCCTCCTTCCTTTTGTTCAGACTTGTGGCTTTTGGCCAAGTGGTTATCTGTAACTAAACAAACACAAAGCTGCAGTGTTTGTACATTTCTGACAGATTTCATCTAGACACGCTTTAGTGATAAAGTAATCATTTGTCATCGTTTCCCATGACAAGGAAAACATCCGTAACAGCAAGCAACAATACCATGTTTGTAACTCCATACTGCAGCCTTATGCACATTCTGTGTAGTCTTGCTATTTATAATCATGTATATGTGTGTATGTATGTGTATGCACATGGATTTTTCTGTTGTACCTGCCACATGATCATAAAGATTGCTGGCCCAGGACAAGGTACACTTCTGTGCTGTTGCATTTCCTGCACACTTTTTTTCATTAGTTAGGTGGTACAGTCTAAAATTAACCAAGGCAGTATTTTTTTTTTCACGTCCCACTGCAGCAGCTTCCAGAAGATGTTTTGCAACACAAATCCTTAATTCAACCCCTTATGTTCCCCAGCATGTTGCTGTCTCATCCCTCATAGCTTCAACAAAAGCTGATGGGTCCCACAGGAAAACTTCTTTTGGGCACCACGAGAGCAAGGGGAGAGAAGGAAGCTCCAAGCATCAGGTCTCTTCCCTGAGCAGGCATTGCTGTTGGTGCTTGGCTATAAGGCCAAGGAGATTAAAGGCCTTCGCTCAAACCGATCTGAATGGTTTTCGCCCACATTTATAATTGGAGGTTACTGCTCCAAGAGGTAAAACACAGTTTCTGAGAGAAAGATCATTTCATTGTCACTGAAATGCGGAAGGATGCTCAGAGCACCTCCCTCTGTTTTCGGAGAAGTTGGCTTGGCAGTGGTTACTGGGCTGAAGCTGAGACAAGCAACTGTGGGGCTTGCTCAGAACTGATGAGCACAGTAACTGTCTGCTCCAGACCGTATTTGGTCACACAAGGCAACCAAGGAAATTACTGAACCCTTTGAGGTTTCATTTTGAGTGAGAGGAATCCTTGTGCTATTCTCTGTGAACCCTGGGCAACCTGTGCCAGTGCCCCACCAACCTTCAAGAACATCTTCGTAATGTCTGATCTAAATCTCCCCTCTTTCATTTCAAAATCATTACCCTTTGTCCCATCACTACATCCCTGACAGAGTCCCTCCCCTGCTTTCCTGGAGGCCCCTGCAGGTACTGGAAGGCTGCTGCCATCCAAAACCATGGCTAACTGGAGGCTTCTTACTTGAAATGCATAGGAAAATACAATCGTTGTGTTTCCTGAGGAAAGCTGCAATTAAAATTTAGCAGCCTGATAGTTCTTGTGTAGGTAACATCACATCAACAGGCTGTTACATTCTGCAGTCAAAGCCTGTCAGTGCTATTGTTTCCCTTTCCAGTAACTTGACAAAGCCTCTCAAGTTTTAGATAACTTGTGTAGTTGCCTAGGCTGAAATCCCTCTCTCTGCTGCCGAAGAGCATAAATCATTGATCATCTGTTGCTCGCACTGAGCAGGGAAGCAAGAACCTGAAACAGAGAAATCTCTCTGTTCCCCCTGAAAACCTCGTCTTCGTTAGAAGTGTGATATTTCTTGAGTGCTAGGCACCTTTATAAGCACAGGTATTACAGCGTGCGTGGGCTTCTCTACTATAGCTTTTCATTTCTGCTTTCTTCATTCTGTGTCTGTGATGGTATCTCCGTGTTCTGAAAGTAACTTCTGAGTAAGCTGCAGTGTGTGTGTTGAGCCCTGCCGTGGCTCTGATCACCTTCTGATTTTCCTCTCTCTTCTTGAACCGCTGCATGGTAATTCCAGTTCTTTCTTTAATTGCCTGCAGAATTCACTTTTGTTTTGATCAACACAACAGTATTTTGGCTGTTTTGGTCATCATAATGTTTTCTTCCTGGAGGCGTGTGCGCCTCTGCTGGTTATTGCTCAAAACTACCTGAAAGTCACTGCTAGGTTACACCTGGCTTGGTGAGTGTGTCAGTCAGTGCTTTGCCTCTCCAACCCTGCTTCCCCATGAGTCAGTAGATTAAGTTAATACAGTGATTATCTTCTTTCCCCTCCTCCTGTACATCACATTTTTAGTCTTCAACTTTGCTTTCCGGGTGCTCCTGTTCATTATTATCCCACATCTAACAGCTCTCACTTTGTGAGCCACTGGCTTAGCAAAATGTGCAAATCCTTCTTCTGTAAGAGAATGCCTCTGCGTTCTTCCTACTGCATTTACCACTCCTGAAAATAACGAGACAACCAGAATGCTTCGAAGAGTATGTGTTTAAAAATCTTCTGGTGAGCCAAGTTATGGTTTTTTTTTTTGTAGTTTTTTTTGTTACTGTTTTCAAATGAAAAGAGGAATTGACTAAATGCCAATATGGAAAAAATGAATGCCAGACCAGTTGTGATATATCCTTGAGCCTATTCCTGCAATGTTTATCTCTGAGCTGAAATGCAGTATTTTGATTTAAATTAGAAGGAAAATGGAATATTACTAAAAGCACGAGGGTAATGTATTGTTCAGCATGATGCCCCATGGTGTGGGGCGTCCCTTTGGGCAGCTTGGTCCAGCTGTCCTGGATGTGTCCCCTCCCAGCCCCTGGCTGGCAGGGCAGCCCCAGGAGCTGAGCAGTCCTTGGCTCTGGGTGAGCCCTGCTCTGCAGCAGCTGAAACACTGCTGTGTTATCACTGCTATTTTCATCAAAAATTCAAAACACAGCACTGGGTGAGCCTCTGTGAAGAAAATGAACTCTGTCCCAGCCAAAGCCATGACAGGAGAAGAGAGAAATTGAGACTGTGTACAGTTTTTAATACAAATGTTTCCTAGTAGCGATTCCACAGCTAAAGTTAGGACTGTTAATTGCTACAATTTCTAGTATCCTTCCAGAGCTGGAGATAATGAATAATCAGGTATTTCAAACAAGGTTGTTCATGTCATGGCTTTCAAACGTTGCATTAAGTATGTTGGGTAGATGAATTCATAGCATTCAAATTAAGGCTTTTATATAATTTGTCAAAGAAAACTACGCTCGATACGTTTCTTCTTTTTAATGAGGTTGTGATATTTGCTAATTTATTATTTTCATGTGACTGGTTTTCTAGGCAATCGTTCAGTTTTGAGGTATCAATCTCTAATGCTTCAGGCTTACAGGTCTGTGACTGGAGTGACCCTCCCTTTTTGCAATACAGTTCTGTTTCTGTTGTGCTTTCATGGTTTGCCTCCAACAGTGAAATTCCTTCACAACACTGAATGGGCTGATTATTTGATGTGGGTTGTACAGATTCCACAGGACAAGTGAGATTCCTATGGAAAGTGCAGGCACTTTCAGTGACTTGTGTCCATTTGCTGTTTCTTCCTTACCTACTAGCCGTTGTTTTTCTAGTAGACAGTGGTAGTACTGTATTTGCATGGATTGTTTCTCTCAGAATTATGGCTATTAGTACTTGCGGATACCGTTACCTAAGTTATTATCCTATTACTTATCAAATAAGATATTTTGGTGAAGTAATCTTTCTTTCAATTTTTTGTCTAGATTTCTACAAAGTAGAACTCCAATCCTTGTTTTTTGGTCCTTGTTTTTTCTCAGTCTTTTTATAGAGATATCCTAGGCAGATGGGAAATGTGTATTTATAGAATACATATTTTGTAAGGTCTAGAAGCACAGAAAACTCAGTGCTTTTTGAAAATAATTTAGGACCTGCTCAGAAAAAGCATTTAGCAGCTGACCTCTGACTTGAAAGGGTTTTCTGTTATGTATTCATTATCATGAATGAATATCTAAATGCTACTTTTAGTTGCAAATTTGCAAGGTTAAAGTAGAATTGAATTGCAAAAAGTCTTCTTAAGCTTCTCTTAGAAGTCGGGGTTTGCCATGCAGTGACTTACTAATCAGCTGATGTTGTATTCAAACCATAGGAAAGTGCAACATAAAGGCAGTCAGAGTTTGGTAGAGGAGCTGAAAGTAAAATAGAATTGTTTGTTTTAATTTAATTGTTTTGCAGGTTGAAAATTGGTGTCCTCGTTTACCTTGGAGAGCAAAAAATCCTAATGAAGAAACCGATCAAAAAACAGTGGTAAGAAAAACATTAAAACATGAGTGTTCAGTAACTGTTCACTCAAAAGACCCTGGAAGCCTGTGCCACATAAATGCTAGTAAGACTAGAATTTACTATTGTTATTCCTCAGCTCCTCAAAACTGAAGGGCAGCTTCCTTGACTGTGTATATGTAGCTCGTCACATATTTTCTCCAGTCATACTGCAGTCTTGGTGGCAGATTTCCACTAAAAACATTTAAGTGTTCTAGTTTATGTAGCGTTGTACACTACATAACACAGACACTGAGAAAATTTGCAAATCTATAGACCATTCACCAGTATTAAGTGACCATATGTGAAACTATCTGTTTTTATTATCCCATAAATCTGGGCTTTATATAAAACAATGCTGTAACAGAAAAGGCCTACGTACATTTCAGTTTTGTAAGGTTTTGATTTTTTCCTTGAGAAATAACTCAGTATGCAGTAGAGTTTTTAAACTGTTACAGCCTAATTATGTAGCACTTAGGTATTTTAAGATAATTATTGGGCTGCAAATGAACATCGCCTATAGAATTTTGGTGTAGAATGTCATACTTAGTAAAAGCAATTGTTTTGCATCAGTCTGGCTTTCGGATGAATATTTCTTTTTAAAGGAATACTGTAGCAATGTTTCTGCCTTAATGTTATTGTAAGAGCCTTCCTTGTATTTTGAAGATTCATGATGATATCTGAATCCTCAGTGTAATTTTCTGAATTTATATTGTGTCCTAGAGATACTTTTAGACTCCTTTTGCAAACACATGAACAAAACTAAATCTTGTACTGCAGAAATAAATACATGGTGAAACATTGCAAATATACTCCAGTGCTAATAAGTACTACTAACAAAAATAACCGTAATTTATATGGCTTAGAAATGTCCATTTAAATGGACATGGGAGGAGCCCAATTTCCATCTTGCTACAACCTCTTCTAAGGTAATTGCAAAGTAAAATCTTGACTTTAGCATAAGAAGCATTATCCTTTTTTGTTTGCTTTTATTTTATTTTTTTTACACCAAATAATGTAAAGAAAAACTCATGTTTGTGTAGTTTCATCACTTCTGAAAGGTACACACAATAACATTGTTTTTTTGTTTGTTTTAATGACTTAATTGAAGGCTGAAATTCGTATCAACTTTGATCCTCTCTACAAAATGATGTCAAGGCATGAGGAATTCAGGTGGATGATGTTACGCATCAGACGAATGGCTGATACCTGGATTGAAGCAATTAAATCACTTGCAGAAAAGCAAAATTTGGAGAAGAGAAAACGAAAGAAGGTAAGTTAAAACATTTTTTAGCACTTGCCACTTGCAAACATTTGCCTTAAATAAGCTAAATTTTCCAAAAGTAACTTTGGAGCAGGAATACCAAGTATGAGTAAAAGGCTCATGTTCGTACATTTGTCTCTTTTCAATGAGTATTTTGTTGTTTGGAATTATTTGTAAAATGGATTTGTGTTAGTATACATCCAGTAAGTCAGTCTTTGAATAAGTTTTCTAACATCTTTAATTTTGGATAAAAGAGAAGTTATGCAGAAGGTTTTAAAGAAATGAACTATAAATTTACCACAAACTGATTACACTGGAATGTTTTACATAGTTGTAGAAAACAACAGTTGTATATTTCCTTTGTCCACAACTAAAATCTTACGTGGCATCTTTCTGGTTTGGGTTGGAGTAGGCTTGAAGTTGATCACAACTTTCAATCAGATTTCTTTTGATTTGTAGTGAGTCCAGTTTAAAGTCTGTGAGACTCTTGAAATCAACAAGTCTATTTTATTTGAATTATTTTTTTAATTACTTCAATTAGTTAAGATAAAGCTGAAGCTCTTAAACGCAGAAATTTCCCTTCCTGCCTTGTGCTTACTGGAGCCAATCCTGAGCGACAGTCAGAGTTGTGTTCCTGTCCCCTCAGAAGGCTGCCTGTCTGTGGCTCAGCTCCTTGCTTGCGATCCTCAGTCCCTGCAGGAGACCTGGGCTCCACATTGTGGCTCTCGTGTTTGTCACTTATCATAGTCCTTGTGGAGGCTCACTCTCTGTCAAGGAGCAATGCTTTTCTTTCAAGCAGCAGTGCAGCCTGTTTTATTAAAGAAATATAACATCTGAGAATACAGAAACTCAGAAATAAACAAAAGCAGCACTGTCCTGTATAGGCAGTTTTGATGGGATGTTCTAGTGCTTATTCTTTGCTTTTAAAAGTCCTTTAAGGTCTTTAAGGTCTTTTTTAAGACCTTTAAAGTCTGCAAACATATGGTGATTTCATTTTAATGTGCCCAGTTCTCTTCTGGGAGCAGAGATGAGAAAAAGATGTTTTTATGAATGCTGCTTCTTTTTTAAAGAGTGAAGGATAAGGTTTTTGGTGTTTGGGGTTTTATGTTTGGCACTATATGTATCAACACTCAAAGAGTAGTCCAGATGTGTAGCGAAGTGTTTGAACTTGGCTGTTGTGCTCTATTAGAAAGGCAAGCACAGATTTCAAGGAACTTTAGAGAAAACTCTCCTCCAGTGGCAGTGCAGAAAAAGGTTGATAAAGCATCCTGTCATTCTTACGCAATCTTTCCAAGTTCCTTAATGGCTCATCCAAAAGAACATACTCTTCCTGGACCAAATTGTCCTGTTGCATAAGCGAGAATATCCTACTTGAGAATATAAGTGGTTATTCAAACAAAAGAAATTAATGTGAACCACAACTTACTTTCTGTGCAGAATTACATGTTGTTTTGTGAATAACACTGATTTAAGCGTTTTGTAACTGATCTGCTGGCATATCACAGTGCAAAAGAATATAGTAACATTCTTACAATTACTGTTCCAGAGATCTATTACAGAATTAAATTATTTACAGGGTCTCCAATTAGGGTGGAGGTGTTAGGTTGTTGTTGATTGTTGTTCTTGTGTGTTTGGCTTCATTGTTTGGTTGTTTTTTTGTGTGTGTCCATAGTGGGAATTTAAGAGAGAGAAAATGCTGTGAAGTATGCTAGTTGCGTGTTTAATGTTGGTAACTAACATACAACTTTTCTTTTCAGATTCTTGTTCATCTGGGGCTTTTGACGAAAGAATCTGGATTCAAGATTGCTGAGAATGCATTTAGTGGTGGCCCACTTGGTGAATTAGTCCAGTGGAGTGATTTAATTACATCTCTCTACTTACTGGGCCATGACATCAGGATTTCAGCTTCTCTGGCAGAGCTCAAGGAGTAAGGAGATTACTTTCAATTTTGAAACTGGAATACAAAAAAAATAAATAAAAATCGGAAATTGTAAACTCTTGAAGCTTCTATTAACAAAGTGTATAATTTCTTGAAGCATAAAATGAAAGTGATAATTCACTAAACAGACAATAAGATTATTTTCATGAGCTAAATATGTGCTATAAAAGGATAATGTGTTTTCATTGTAGCTTCAGGCTCATAAGACTTCATAAATGAATGCTGTAAAATTCAGACTAAGCAGCTTATTCTTTAACATTCCAGGTGCTTTAACCAGCTGCAGTAAGAAGTTTTACAGATTATCCTAATTCTGTGTCCTCTCCTTCAGTTTTTACTATTTTTCACTCAGTATCTGATTTTAACATAGAGGTTTTAATCCTTTAAACAGATTACTTTTGATGTAGTTAATTGCTTATGTTAGGTCACATTGCTGCCTCACTCATCTTTGTCTTGCTTTACATGAGACGTTCAGCATTAAGCATAATACAGCTATTTTAAGGTTGGGAACATGCACCTTTTCCGTAGCTTTCATTTTTTTAAAACATGACAGCATCATTTTGTAGAGAGCTCTTATTCCATCAAGCTGCCAATAGAAGAAACTATTTCCAATCATTTCAGAACACTATTTTTAAACGTTCAGATCGTATTATTATTTTTTTTAAGTGGATGGGATTTTTAGTGAAATTAGCTCTTTACTGATGCATATGCAGCTCTTTAATAAATGCTGAGGATCTTTAGCATTTGAATGTTTCTACATAGTTACTGATTTGGAAGAGATAAAACTAAGGCCTTTGTGAAAAGGTGAACTATTGGTATAAGTAATATAGCATGAATTTCAAGGTTGGTCTGAAAATAATACTTTTCCATGTTCCTTCTTTTTCCGTTTAGGATTATGAAGAAGGTTGTAGGTAACAGATCTGGCTGTCCTACCCAGGGAGATAAAGTTGTAGAACTCATTTACATTGATATTGTGGGACTCACTCAGTTTAAGAAAACCCTTGGTCCATCGTGGGTACATTACCAGTGAGTATAATATTTATTTGACCTCTAAACTGCTTTGTTGAAGAGCTTTTGTGGAATAACATGTAAAAATACTAAAGTGGGTACGCTTACATGAATTGGAATTTATTTAAAAGTAAAAATACAGTTCTCTGTTGTCCTTCATTCTTAAGAATAAAGCAACTGTTACCTGTTTGTTGCATACCAGATGTAAGGCCCTCCCCACGCATGTATGGAATACTTGTTGTAGATCAAAGCATTTTTAATCTTAATGCATTATATTGCTGAGTCATCATCTTTGTCTGTCTCTTCTTCATCCCCTCTCCCAAGTTTTGTTCTTCCCATCTATTTGTAAATTAATAGATGGGCTGAAAGATTATTGAACTTTGCTGTTGAGTTGGAGCAGAACATGCATGTTTTGCTTGTCTGTGTTTGTCTCCATACTGGATTGATGGTTGTGGGGATTTATCTATTTAAATTTTATTGTTTAACAACAATGTCATATTTTCTGTCCCATCCCTAAAAATGTTGGGGGCAGAATTGTCTTCACTAGTAATTCTAAAGAATAAATCTGCTGTTAACTGCAGTTGCTGTTGCTTCTGTAATCTATAAGCATTTTTCCATTAGGGATGGAAGATGGTTGTCACAAGAAATTACTTGGAATGGCCTTCTTATTGTCTGCGGTTTTAGAACCAGATTTCTTTTTGTCAATATGTTTAAATGAGCAAGCCTCACACATGTTGCATTGATATAGATCAGCATGAAATAAAACCAAACCTAAATCACTGACTTTGATTTATTTTTTTTAGACCTAATCAAATTAGCTGTGTTTTATGATCTGTAAAGTCCAGTAAATCCTAGCTGAGGGAAGAAATTGAAAGGTTCTCTGAAGGCAGAAGAATTGTGTTTCTTTCTACTTCAGGATTTGCTAGAACATTGCATCTTTTCAGCATAATTTTAAATAAAAGTACTGTGATTAACGTCGCATATTAGATTACTCTTAATCTCTTTTTTAAAGTAGAGGAGTAAACAGATACTTGGGTTTTTAGGAGCCTGCTAATAAAGCTAATCCCATTTTCCACTGAGCTAGTGTTGGCTGTCTGTCTGCCAGATGTAATTGTCATTAGGCAATCACATACGGTATTGTGGTCGGGATAGAAAACCAGGCTTAGGAAATTGTAACCAAAAGGGAAGAAGCGTTTTAAATTTCTACTTGGCATATTCTGTAGCAAAGATGGTGGAAATGCAGCATGACATTGAGTTTATTAGATCAGCTCTTCAATTGTTCTTGCTTGTTTCATGAATCATTAAATCTTAAGCTGCCAATCTGTTTTTCATTGATTCCTAATTTGTAGTAATGACTGACTTTTTTTTTTGTTTAAGGAGAGAAGAATTAAATTTCACTGTAAATACATACGTTAGGCAGTATGAGATGTTTTTTATCTATGCTTTTGAGGAAGAAAAAATACCACTAGTTCTCTTCCACAGCCAGCATTGTGTATCTGGGGATTGAACAGGACCTCATCAGGTATATACTGTTGTAGATCAGGTGTATTTATCTTTCTTGAGAGATTTTTGCCTAGTCTCTTAGAGGAGACTCCAAAAGACGCCACAGTATTTCATACCTTAAAGAGAAGTTTAATAGTATCTTTCTTGGCTTGATCTCTTGCAAACTGCATGTTCCTGCTTATCCCCCATGGTTTCAGAAAATAAATTACTTCCTCCCTCTCTCTGCCAGCTTGTAGAATATCTTATGTACTGTGCTTGCTTCAATTTGCCTTCTCTCCCCTGCCCCCACATAAATAAATAAATTCAGAGGTTTGGATCACTCCTTATAATTCAGGTTTTCATTGCATTTGCTGGGGATCTCTGTAGTTACTTGATACTGTTCTTCAAGGTTAGTGTAGAAAACAGGGTCCAGAGTCTAGCAGAGACTATCAGAGAAGAAGAATTGATTCTTAGTTTCAAGTAAGCTGTCTCCTGTTAAATGATCCTGTTGCAACCTTTTTTCTTTCAGCATCATGAGTTCCCTCATAAAGTTTGTCATAATAATATTTTTAAGTTAAGAGAGTAAGCCTGGTATAAAAGATCGTATTTACGTATTCTTGTTGAATGCATTCCAGTAAAATAAGCATTATCACCTATAAAGCTGCCTTGTAGGCTTTGTTCTTCACAAACTTCTCTTCCTCACTCATTAGTATCTAATGTCAGCAGGAAAGATTTTTTTTGTCTCGAAAGAGGTGTCTTGTTTTACGCCATGTACTTCAGCAGACACATGCTGGTCAGCTTAGTCTTGTGTGCAGACCAGACTCAAATACAAATAAAATGTGTTTATTCGCTTCAGATTGAAGTAGAGCGGTAGAATTAACCTGTGCCTTCAGAACAGGCTCTTCATAAGAGCGCAGTATGTAATCTTTGGGTGAACTTGAGCCCCGAGGAAAGTTTTGGCTGTCTCAAATCAGGTTTCTAGGACTGGTAGCTCACAAAAATGCCCTGCTGTGAGAGGTGAGTGCTTCTCAGCAGCTGGAATACCGCTTTGTACTTCTGAGGTCTGTAGCACCAGTGACTCCTGATAGTATGTGCTTTATCTGGGGTATAACTGTGCTACAAATAGCAGGAATACATCAAAACAGATTTTATTTGTTCCGAGCACCGTATTGTCAAGCAGAATGCCTGGACAAGCTGCGTTTTTCTCTTCTGAAGTTTGGATATTTGAATGCAGTTCACATGCAATGAAGCAACATAAAAATTAGTGGCTTAATATAGATTGAGGGGTGCAGCTCATTGCTTTTCTTGTCACCCGCGTCCTCTGTACAGCGCAGATGAATCTGGTATTTTTTCATTTTTCTACAGCCTCTCTAGCAATGACTCATTCCCATATGCCTAAAATCTAACTGGCTTTATTCTTGAAACAAATGAACATGACAGGTATCCTGCAAAATGAGCAACATTCCCGCTGTTTACGTGTTTTCTAGAATACGTCTGTTTTAGGAGGGATATTTTCTGACTAAGTTCTTACGTTTTTGAATTTAAGTAGTGAGGGGCCTGAAAAAATACGTGCGTCTGCAGAGCTTGCTGTAGGCAGACGTGAGCTTGGCTGGGCATGAGCCAAAGCAGTCTGGAGTCTGTGTATGTGTGCGGGCATGTTGCTGTGCTTGAGCTCAGTGCACCTACAGAGCTTCTGCACCAGAACTGCTTGGGTTTTGACCGGCTTGCTCCCAGGAAAATGTCTGCTGTCTGTCTGCAGCCACATGCCCTTCATTTAGCAGTGCTTGCTGGCATAGGTGTTAGCTGCTGACAGTGATGGGTGCTGCTGGACAGCACTGCTCACCCAGACAGAGGATATACAAGGAGGGAACAACTATAACCTCAGGTGGGAGAATGACCTGAATAAATATGTATAAATATTTCCACCAGGGCAGCCCAGTTCAGATTGTGCGAATGCCCAATATTTATGGAAAAACGCTAACTTGAAAAATGGTGATAATTCTGGGTTACTTTTGTCCCTTTTTTTGTAAACACAACATTTGTCACTTCTAATATATCAGAAGAAAGAAAACATCGATGTTGTTGTTTCCATAGGCAATTTGCTACCCACCAATCCTTGTTTTAGAAGAACTGTTCTATGGTTTGTGGAAATCTTTTTTAGATGGGAAGAGTGCTTTCTGGTACACTCAATGTGAAATATTCAGTGGTGCCACACTAGTGTGTCAAAGGACAGCACTCTATTCTATGGGGGTGATGTACCCCTTGTTTTCTCTTCTTTGGGTGTGAGAGAGGTTTCAGACATAATTTATTTTAAATACTGCCAGCTTCAGTGAGTTACAAATACACATATAATCACTACTTTTCAGTAGTTCTGTTAGCTTCGTAAAATTAGAAAAAAAAAAGTTCAGTTCCTCATTTTAAAAAGGAGATCGGTCCGTTTCATTTTTAATTTAACATCTCGTGAATCAACCGTGTCAATGAATAGGCAAATCAATCTCACACCAGTTCCTTCTGCTGTGATCTCTTCCTGTCTTCCTGACTTTCTTCATGCCCTAATACTATAAACACAGGTTTTGTTTTCCCTGCTTCATTGCTTCACTTACTTTCCATTGCATCATGTTTCCTGTACTTCTGCTTCAGAGCCCTGTGTAAGTTGGACTTAGTGACACTATATCACTCTAAATAATTGGTGCTAACATACCTTACACCTGAATACAGAAAAACGAGAGGAAATGAAGCACATTGAGACATTTGCATGCACTGCAGTGCTCCTTAAATGTATGATTTGACAGACTCCAGTAGTGCTGCAGGTTTTCAGTAGCTTTCACCCATTTTCTTATTCCCCTGCATTCCTGTACCTGGCCAAAAGCTGTACATTTGCTAAGAATTCTGTTTTAAGGCCTGCCAAGAAGTAAGAGGGCTTTTATTACTCAGTGATTCATCAGTGCAGAAGTTGTTTTGGTCTTGCTAGAGTATTTTGTATGATGCAGAGATAATTGCTACTGTTGTAAAATATTTTCATTGAGAACAGTTGACATAAAACACTGCACAGAAACGGATCTGTCAGCTTTGTTGTTTGGTGAATCACAATGTGTTGTATCTTTTGACTTTCTTTTTTTGCTTGAAAGATCTCTATGAAGATTTAAAAACAAAGTAAATTTGCCCCTTTTGTACTCTGAAATACAAAGGTGGCATTTCATGTTGTTTTATTTGGTTTTGTTGTTTTTTTTCTTTTTCACAATTTAATGAATACTTCAGTGAAAAGAGTGACATGTATGTATGTAAGTGTGTTTTGGGGACTAAGTTTTTTTCACTTTTTAATGCTGAACTATATTTGGAGTTAAGTTCTGTTACCTCTTGAAGCCAAGAACTTGATGTTTTACCGATGAGAATGTGTATGGGCTTGAGGCATGGGAAACTTTTTGAAGAGTGAGAAATACAGGCATTTTTTAAAGTCACTTTTACCAGCTACCGATGTTTTGTGCCACCTGTGAGGTTGTGTTTCTTTCTTAGTGACAAAGTGTGTCGTGATAAGAGTTGATGTCTTTACATCACAACCCAACGTGGCACATGGCCCTGCACAGCCTGTATCAATCTTTTCCCCAGATTTTATTTGTGGAGGGCTGAAGAACAGAAGGGTCAGCAGCTTTAGAGCCAAGTAACACAATTCATTTGCAGTAGAGCTAACGGTCAGTGTGACCACTACAAATAAAGTTCCTGTCTAAGCCATATCAAAATTTTACAAGGCTGCATTTTGGAAACATAAATCCTTGAACCTGTATGCTAGAATATCCACCGTCTTATATTGAGGGTGGGTTTTTTCAGCCTTTCATGTGCTGTGGATTCTTTTTAAAAATAACACGACTCATGACTGAAGTAGGTTTTTTTTGTTTTGTTTTTTTTTTCAAGGAGTTAATCAGACTTTTCAATAAAGAACTGAGTGTGAATCTCTTCTCCAGACTCCTTGTAATCCAATGCCAAGGTTTCTCTTAGTTGCAGACATTTGACTTTTGTATTATTTTTTTCAAATGTCTCTAACAAACAGTATTACAAACAAACGGCCTGTCTGACTGCAAGTCTGCAAATTAAACTGTCTTCAAGGCTTCTCCAGTAGGTCTAACTGACCCAAAAGTCAGAATCTGGAGACTAAATAGAGTTGTCTAAAGACAAAATACTATTCTGCTCTGATCTTGGTATGTAGCCTTTGGCTGTTGCACTGGTTTTGTAGTAGTGGGTAAGAACATTAGGAAATAGATGAAGAATCCTCTCTTCTTCTGCCTAAATTCTACTTCAGAGCCCCGGGAATGTAGGTGACCGCAGTAGTGTTCCCATAAGCTGTTCTTGGATGTTGAAGCATGAATTCATTTTCTGAGAACAAGGAAACCAAAACTAAGCTCCAGGGTTTCTATTTGAATGTCTGAAATGTCCTTCAACTTGCTGATTGTAGTGCCTTTGAAATTGAAATATGCCTTCAGTTTATAAATCATTCACAGTTGCAAATACAAACAAAGCACATCTTAATTATAACTATGTACACATGCTTTTATATATATATATATATATATATATGCTTGTGTACCTGCAGTAAGTCTTTATTTTTTTCTTTTAGGTGTATGCTAAGAGTTCTGGATTCATTTGGAACCGAACCAGAGTTTAACCATGCCCATTACGCACAGTCTAAAGGCCACAAGACACCATGGGGAAAGTGGAACCTTAACCCCCAGCAGTTCTATACGATGTTCCGTAAGTATCCCTGGGTTTATAAAGAAGTTCGGGTTTTAAAAAGGAATGCTGTCATTGAGAAGAATTCTTGTATTATTTAAAACAAGTTCATGGCTTAATAAAATGCATGTAAAAGGGCGGAATCATAAGTGTAGACTATGCAAATACTCTACCATACTTTTTGTGTACTGTCATACACAAAAAAGCACAATAGCAAAGAAAATGATAGGGCATAGTATACCTGTGGAAAGTGATGGCTGGCGTTTCCTTCAAAAATTTTTTGTCTCAGTTTTTGGAGTGGATTTCTCACAAATTTTCACCAAACTTATCGTTATGTTGTGAGCATTTATCCTGAGATGAACTGATTCTCACTTTTTTCCCAGCAGAGTACAAAGCTATTGGAAAACAAGTAGTAGAGGTCAGTATTGTTATAAACATTTAAGGAATCTTTAAATATTCCCCACCACCACCCCAGGAAAAGAAATTCTCTGTAAATTTTATCATATTAAATGATTGCAGTGACCTATTCTAGCGCTAGTCTTTGACTTTATGGAACTCAGTTCTAGAATCAAAGGAACATTCTTTTGCGTGCTGTAGTACTTTAAGTTTGTTATCTCTGAAAAGAGCAGAACGATTCACCACCGCGAGCTAGCTTGAGCGTATATGAAGCTTAGGAAAGAGGGAGGTGCACGCTGTTACTTACAGGAGTTTCTCAGCTCAAGCCCATAAGGAAGTCCTGGGCAGTGACCAGCCTGACCTCCGAAGTTTGCTGGTGATTCTTACCTGACACCAAGATCAGGGACATACGCTTTTTTTTTTTTTTCCAAATCAGACTTTATAGTCACATCTTTCAAACTTTCCTGCTCTTCACAGCAGAAGTATGCATGCTGCTGTCTAGCTGACATGCTTTTGAATTCGGTTGCCTTGTAAAATTCTTTGAAGAGGCACATTTTGTCTGTTAACATTTACTGTGCAAGTTTTTTCCATTCCCAGTTATGTAGAAGCAAGCAACTAAAGGCGTGGCGGGGAAATGGGACTTGGGAGTGGTTGTAGAGTTAGTGCCTGGACTTCAGTGAGCAGAGCTTGTTCCTTGTCCACATGACTTGTTAACATTTTTTGGTTTGTCATACATGGAAAATGAGCCAAAGGCCCAATTGTGCTGTATTTAAGTAGAACAGCTATTAGGAAATCTGATTGTGAGATCCTGCTTCAAGGTAGCACCAAGGGTGACGGTGCACTTGAGGAAAGTAGTTGCATGACTACTTGTGGTACAGCTGTGTTCACTTCTCAATCCCACTCCAAGAAAGGCAGAAAAAAGTAAATCTTCCCTATAAGGAAGATCTGTTATCTGTTGCAGTACAGACTAATGTTACATTCTGTTGTTTGGAGCAGATCACTTCATAATAAATTTTCGGAAGAGTATGAATGTATTGAAACTCCAGTAGATAACCATTTCTGGGTTTTAATACTAGCAGTGACTGCTGTTTGGCTTTGCAGGGAAAGTGCTGAAGAGACTGCAAGCAAACTCATTCTGAAGCATGAGTGATTACAGTGCTATAGATTGTTCAAGAATTTTTCCTTTTTGTGCTAGGTGCTGAAGAATCAGCATGTTTGGATATCTAAAGTTTATTTTTGTATTTTGTCCTCTGCTGCAGAGAGAGCAGCATCTTTATTGGGTTACGATTGGAAGTTCATGTTATGAATCATTACAATTTTTACACCAGGTTGGAACCCTGGACACCTTCCCAAGATCCCCAGACTCTATTATGTTTTGAGAACTCTGATTATAAGGGCAAAAATTATTACTGAGTGAAAAGAAAGCCATATTCAAACCTGTGGCATATTACCAAATGCTTGAGCTTTCCAGAGGCGTGAACTTCTTTTCCCTTTTTTATGTTCTTTTTAAAATCTTTTATGCAAAATAGCAGCATTGGTACTTCTTAAAACTGTATGGTCTTGCTTAAAAATCTGAGTACTTTCTGTCAATGATATTTAAGGCCCTGAATTCCACCAGTTATAAAACTTCAAGAAAGGTTTATTTTTCGAGTGTGTACTGCCTTGCCTCTCTTTGAATGCGGTCTCTTATCCAAAAATACAAAAGGATAGAAAAATGCCCCTTTTCAGGAATATTTGCAACATGCCATTCACTGTGCTAAATGTTAAGGAGTCCTTGGGTTTAAGTGAGTGCCTAACGGTTGCTGAGACATTTTTCTGTGAAAGAAGGATAATTGTCATTTGAAAGATTAAATATAACAATAAAGGGAACCATGTACTGCGTATAGTTTCTGTTCTGTTGTGTTTTCCAATTTGCTGGGTTTGAGGAATCAAAAGTAAAGTGTCATAATAGCAATAGAATTTCTTTTTGTAGAACTTTGACTATGGGTTTAGCATTGTATGTTGTATGTCTGGGATCTTTTTTTCCTCCATCTTTTCCTCCGTTTTTCCACCTTTTTCCACCTTTTCTTTGGCAAAGCGCACTTACCAACAAGTTGTCAACTTGAATTAACAGAATTTGAAAGGTGAGACTTGCAGAGGAGATCCTGGTTTTCATTGCAGTGTTGTTCTGTGTAGACATGCAAGGCTGTGCCACTTTTTAGATAGGTGCAATACCCCCATATATTGCAGTATTTTTATACAACAGGAATGAATTCTTACCTGAATCTGTGAACGCTGCAGTCCATCCATGCAATTAAACACATTTTCAGCAAACAAGCAAACAACTTAGCTGTAATAAGCCTACAGCTCTGTGCCTTTAAAGGAGGAGAGCGGTGCCTAGTATCGCTGGATGTCAGTGCTGAAGAAAGAACAATGGAGGCTAAAAATACAGGAAATTAAGACCAAATTCCATAACCTTTGCAATTAACACAACAGTTTTGATCATTTCAGTTGCCACTTTTTGATATTTTAACGTAGATATATGTAGTGAATTAGGCAGTGAAATTTCTGTTCTGGTTTGCATGGTGTGACTTCGTAAGCTAATACCTAACACAGATACATAATAGGCAGCAAGCTGGATGGAGTGTTAGCTCTCCTAATATAAGAGATGAGCCCCAGAAATTCACAAAAATTTATCACATTGAGAAACATACAGCTTTGTTAACCAGCATAAACCCAGTGTTTTTTCCAAGTGTTGGTGTTGCGTCTCTGGGATTGTCAAGCTAGATTCCTTCTGGCTCTCTTATCTCTAATAGTAAAGCAAAGCTGAACACACAAAGAATCGTTATCATTGGCCTGGGTCCAGCTGCAGAGTTTCATTGCAGGAAATGAGCCAGAAAATAACTGCTTACTTCAGTAGACATATGCAGCAGGACTTAATAAGAACTCTTCTCAATAATAAAGTAAGCAAATACATCTGTGTGAATGTGGAGAAAAGAGGTATCTGTTGTACGTTGTGTTCCTTATACCTACTTTTATTTTTGTCAATGCTTATACTGTTGTAATATTAATTAATGCTTTAAAATGTTTTGAATATTCTCCATTTCTTACAGCTCACACTCCAGACAACAGCTTCCTTGGATTTGTGGTAGAGCAGCATCTGAATTCCAGTGACATCAAACACATTAACGACATCAAAAGGCAAAATCAATCTCTCGTTTATGGCAAAGTGGATAACTTCTGGAAGGTGAGTTTTCCATATCTGATATGCTTGAGCAGATTTATTTTGATCAATGTAATAGTGCATAATTCTAAACTTAAGTATTCCTTTTCTATAAATCTGTTAAGTTCTTTTTCTGAAAATAATCAAAGAATTCAGTTGAACGATTTGAAGTCTTTCTGATGAACAAGATTGTATCAATCTAGGCTGAGATGGATCATTTGTTATTTATGCACACTTTCATAGTATAATAAAGTTTTGATAGTCTCGATATCACAATTTTAGAAAATGCAGAAGCTATTACAAGTAATGTGAAATTGAAGGTGTCATAGACTTTGTAGACTTAAATTGTTTTCGTAAACAAATGTCTCGATGATTTATTTTAATATATCTACAAACAAAAATGTGCTGTATTTTGTGCTAGAAGCTGTGTTTCACTGAAAACCCTAGAAGTGTGAAATCTCATTTTATCTCCCTGTAATAATAACAGATTTGTGTTTCTTTAATACTTCAATTGCTGCAATGTCTCTTCCATTTGCAGAGGAGAGCTCCAGAATAACAACACTGAGATTTGGTCATATTTTCACCAAGTATCATATGTTGGACTGTTAAGCTCACAGTGCTCACTGCTTTTTGTCCACTGTCCTTTTCTGGAGCTCTTTTTTTTATAGGCTCATACACCTGGGAGTGTAAATTTTCTACAGCTTTCAAAGAAAAAGGATTATTCCTTAATAACAGTATTTCTTTTTCACTTATGTCTGTGTGTCCATATTCCTGGTGTGCCTTAAGACCTTATATTTTAAGCTCCTTGTCAATTGAAAATGGAACTCATCAGTACGTGCTGTGTCATACATAGGACCAAATGATACAACAGTGTGAGAGCATCTGTTTCTCACATTTTCCTTCCTTTTCTCTTCCTTGGCCTAAGCATGTCAGTCTTACACAGTTTTCTGACCCATAGGACTAACATTGTCTGGTAACTGTGACTATACAGAATACGTTCTTGAAAACTGATAGCTACAAGTGGTCCATCTGTGAGACAAAAGAAAAACTTACGGGAAATGGGAGAATCCTAACAGGTTTTGTGTTAGAGAAAAGGTAGAGCTGAATGTTTCTTGGCTCCTCTGCTGAGAAAAATATGTACATTAGTTATGCTTGTTCAATTTCAATCTCTCAGGTTTAAATTTGGTTTTACTGCCCTAAGCTATGTAATCTGTGTCTTAAAAGGAAATTGCACTTAGCATCGTACTAAATACTGTGGCAGTTACTCTTTTTGAGCTCGTGGAATAGAATGGCTTGGTTTGTCCCCATTTGCCCTCTGTTCTTCTGCCTGCAGAATGCTGGTGCAGAGCTGGGTTCCTTTAATTCATGTCTCTTCTAGCTGAGGCTCATGCACTTTTAGTTCCTGATCTCATTATCAGTCTCTCAGGAACAGTTGCATGTAATAATCGTCTGCGCTTCCTGACCTGAATTGTACTGCCTATCAGTACAACAACCTGTTGAGTACTGGTTAGATTTAAGGAACAAGATACTGGTGTAGTCACCAGCATTTGTTTTTTTCCCACTGATATATATATATCTTTTTCAGTTTATTCAGCCTGCATTAATTCAGAAATATGTATTAATAGATTATATGCCCAGAGGGAAGACTTGTGATTGTGTAGTCTGAGATTTGGTGTGACACAGAGGATATTCATGAGCTGATTAAGACAAAAATATGTTGTTGTTGTTTTTTTTTTTTTGGAAAAGAACATCCAATCTTGATTTTTAAATAGCACACAGTGGAAACCCCACTACTTCCTCTGGTAAATTCCTTAATTGCCTTCTCCCTCAAGACTGCATTATTTCTACTACAGATTTCCAAACTAATTTCCAGTTTTAATAGCAGGTATAGACTTTGTCTACTGGACTGATGTTTCTGTTCTGTTTTCCTATAGAAATACATAGATTGAGGCTAAAGCAGCTCTCATAGTCATCTTCTGAAAAGCCTGGATGTGCTGAGCCACTGAGAGCTTTGTGCTTTCTAATCTTTAAGAGTTCTCTCATGTCCCTTTTCGCTGAACCTTTTCAAGATCGTTCACATTCCTCTTGCAATGTGAGTGTTGGCAAAGGGTGTGTGGCCATAAGAGCCTTGAAGTCAGAAAGAAATACTACGTGCATTATTATGCACATACCCTTTTCACCATTGGGAACTCATGTTTAGATGACTTCTCAGCCAAAACCCTTGTATCTCGTATTTTCAAATTGCTTGTTCCAAGTCAGTGCTCCATTTCTGTAAGTAACTGCCTGTCTTGTTTCTTCTAAGAGCTATAACTTAATATTTGGTGGTATTAAAATGCTTACTGAGGGCTTGTTACATGAAGCGCATCATAACTGTAACTTGCAGGCTGCAACAGCAGTCATGCCTATATGCACCCGTACGTGAAATGCAGTCACTGCAGATAGGCTTGGAATTGGTGACAATGGAGAGAAATTCTGGTTCTTGTGATTACCAAAAGGCCTGAACTAATCTTGTATCTGTAATTTATTTCATGTTTTCTCGTTTTCCCTGTGCAATGTTCTTTTCATCTGCTGTCATGGCATATACTGAACCAGGCTAATCTATTTGTCCTGCTATCTTTCTTTATATTGAACACGGCCAGTTAACAAAAAGCGTAATCTCAGCTGAACACACGTCTCTGCTGGTTCTGGTCAGTTGCTGGAGAAGCACAGTGTGAAGGGGAGGGGTTTCCCAGACTAAAGTGCTTTGTCAGAATATCGCTTGCAGATAACTTGTTAAATTTTAAACCAAAAATTGTTGAAAAGTTGAAATGGAACTGAGGACACTACATTGTCAGTTCAGAGTGAATTCTTTTCTTTTTTCTTCCCTGGGAGTGGGACTAAAATAGCTAACTGCCATCATGGTTTCCTATAGCCATGGACAAGGGTCCTTCTCTGCATCTAGCTAAACATGTAGAAGAAAGATCCCAATTTGCTAGTTACTTAGTATTTGCTGGAAATCCCCATACACCCATCCCTGCTGCATGACTAGACAGGGCTGGAGAGGCTAGCTCAGACCATCTACTTAAACTGGTGAACTAACCTGGTTATTGTAGCTAAAGAGAACTATGGATTGCTTCCAGACAACGATCTGTCTTGCCACCTCATTCAGTGGGGTTAAACTCTGATATAAGCATGATGAGTGGTGGAGGGAAAGAATACTGTGATCTCTTCTGTCAGCTCTACTGGATACAGTGAAACACATGAGTCCATGGCCCCAGACCAGTGGCATTAGTCCCGTGTTGCAGTGGGGAAGTCTAGATATGTCTTGCTGGAGGTCAAGAAAGTGCTGCAGAGACTGTAAGAAATGTCTTCTTGTTTACTGTCTTCTGACAAATCAGTCTTAAGTGGATTGAGGATTACACATAGGAGACTGTAAAGAATTTTACAACATTTCTAAATATTGTTCTTAGAGGTAACCTATCAAGTGCAACACGTACAAATTTTGAATGTTTGTAATCAAAAGTTAGGGGTTTTGTGTGGATATGGCAGCACTATGGAGCAGAGAGACCTCTCTCTTCCTAAGTGTAAAAGAAGGAATAAAATGTGAGTGAAACCTCTAATTCTCTCCATTATGATTTAATTACAGAACATTTCAATTCAATTCAAAGGGCATGTTTGAAGCCTTTCATGTCGCCTTAGCTCCTTTTTAGGTCTAAGTCTCTTTGTTCTTCTTTCTGCAACTTCCTGTCGTGCTATTCCAATACTTATGCCTTCAATCCTAAAAAGAAGAGTCAAGATTCATGATTCATGCATCTTACACTTCTATCCGTCTCAGTTACACACTGCATATACCACTGGATTTTGGCTTATCTTGGGATTGACACTTGGGCGAATAAGCACCCAAATGTTTGGGCCTCTAGATGTAACAGTATGCACTTAGGAAATATGCAAAGACCTGTCCCAGTAGTTCTTTCTTACCTGAATTGCATATGTCAGATTTTATAAAAGCATTGCGTTCTGATTTTTTTCAGTGTTTGAAGGTGTGGAAAGGTTATACGAGCTGTTTTACATGTGTTTTGCAGTTTCAACTTTTGGCCTCATAATCCGCTTTGGGACTTTGAATCAAGATCTTGTGTAACGTAATGAGCCTGTAGCTCTGCATATGTGATGGCTACTTTCATTCCCTGTGGAATTTACCGTGTTCTGTGCAGTTGCCCAAGTGGTCTAAATTTGTAAAGAATAATTATAGACTCAGACTGGCAAAGTCATAGTAAAACTTGGTCGTGCCTTCTGTCTACCACATCAAGAAAATGAAAGTTCAGTTCTTCATGCTTCGTGTTTCTACTATGATTTTTTTGTCACATTAATACTTCTTACATTTTCATCCAACAAACTTAAAATTTCAGCCCTTCAGGACTGAAATTGCTATGTCTCCCTGTCAACATTGTCTTAGGGAAAGACTTACCAGACAGTTGTCATTTGATTTCTTTGATGAGAAGGGCTTTATGATGCTTTTAGAAGTAGGTAGAAATAATTGATGTACAGTAATAACAGTTCTGCACTCAGTGATCAACAAAAATGTCGTTCCTGAATGGCAAGTTTATTTTAGCTGCTAAAAACTTGTTTCAGAAAAGGCTTGTATGACTCTTAGTCACTGCTACTCTTACATTTTGGTTCTGAGGAGAAATAATTGCCTCTTTTGTGATGTGATTATCTTTCATGCTGTAGGTCTAGATTTGTACTGCAGACACCAGACGTACAGTGAATAATGCAATCTGACCCAAACTCTGCGGAGAATGCTGATTTTGCATTACTAGCCAGCAGCCCATGATCTGTTCTCTTTAAATTACCTTTGGAAAAGGAAAAATCTTCAGTTTATTTTTATTCTTTAAGATAAAAGAACATTTGAATCTGCTGGCAAGCAAGCAAACTCAGGAAATGGATTAACAGCGGAAGGAATGTTGGGATTCTGTTTGTTTGCAAATCACATTCCTTGATTTATTTACTTATAGCCCTTGTATTTATAAATGCCGTATTTATGCTCTCTCACTTTCTAAACATTAAAAACATTGAATTAGAATGTTTTGCTCACTTAAAGTATACTTCCATTCCCCAGAAGTGCTACTGTAAATGCAGCATAGAAACCTATTTGTTTCATCCTGTACTGCTTTCTTTTGCTATATTCCCTGTTTTGTAACAAGCAGGTGCTGGTATTTATATAGAGGACAGCACATAAATACAATACAGTAGGAAGGTTCACCTTGTTATAGATGATTCGGGAAATATTTTGGGATACACTGAAGGTCCATTATGTGTATCAAAGAATGTTTCCAGCAGGATTTAAGTGATGAATGCCACAGATGCGGTACTGTTCTGACTGTTCCTGCAGTGCACAGGCAGGTCGTGTTGTCATTAATGCCCGTGCTTCACGGCTTTCTCTTTGCATTCAGAACACTGAAGCCAAACTTGCAGGCTTTGTTTGTAGCAAGCGCTGGGCAGACAGGATTTAGTTCTTCTGACAACAGGCTGGTGCTTCGTTCTGGGAAGAAGAGGAGGCTACACCATTTGTATTTCTCCTAAACGTTTGCAAAGTTCCAAAATGGACTTTTGTTTAACAAAATATATGGCTTCTCTACAGTTTCTAATCTTGGTACTTTATTTTACACATAAAGGAAGGAGCATCTCTTTCAGAGTAATTCAAACTTAAGTAGAAGTGAAATAAAAAAGAATAAGCTTTTCCTAATAGTTTGTGTCAATTAACAATAACAGCAACTGTATCAAAGAAGAAAGCACGTTTGTCTCCATTTGTTGGCTATTTTATATAATACTCAGCCCAGGACATTCAATGGTGTGATCTTGGCATAGCCACCAGCCTAGAGCAGTTCAGTAACGAGGCAGGCAGTTTATTTCTTCACAAACAGAATCGCCAGCAGAAGAAGGTGCAGCTACAAGCCAATCAGTTATGTGACATTGAATAACCTGTGTATTTGAACGTCTATCACCAGTTCATTTGGTAAGGAAGTTTCATGAAGCAATGGTGTTCATTCTTTTAGGCCTGATGCCTTATTGTTCCTCCATGATTTCAAAAGACAGGGTTTTTCCAGTCTACTTGCCCTCTGAATGAACTTCAGTCAAATTGTTGGCCAGCTTTCACATAGGTCTGTGGAAGAACAGTGTGCAGAATTTACATGACAAAAATAGTGATTTGAAGTAGAGTTCTTAAAAACTCCCTTGCTGCCAAGAAGTACAGAAACTTGTTGCATGATTTCAGAGTTATTACTAAGACTATGTGCAAATATTGAGGGAAAGTCTCTGATCTGTGCTGCATACTGGCTGTAAATACAGTCTTTAGCTAATTGCTTTTGGAATGCTAGTAGTCTTTAAAACTCAAAAACATATGGCATTGAAAATTAAAGTAATTCTTGTTTGCAAACTAGGGTGGTGTACTGTTTTCTTGTGGGTTTTTTGTTTTGATTATTGCAACAATATAGAACTGTTACTCTGGGTCTTTTCCAAAATGCTTTTTAAAACTTTAGGTAATTTGGATATTTGGAGGTATCTTGTGATTCAGATACCACGTACTTAGATAAGAATGTGTTTTCATTTGGCAGGAGTGCAGCTTACCAGGTGAAATTCACCCTTTTCTTCACAAAGATGATGAACAATAATGAATTTTGTTGCATCTGTGACTAAAGCAGAATGACAATTTGATTTCTCTTTTTTTCCTCCTTTTAGGACAAGTGTTGTTTATGCAGTGCTAAGAATACAGCTATCTGGTGACCTATTTTTGGTCCAGTTGGAAATTAATAGGACCTTGATATTTATTTATACATATACTATGAAACAAAAAAAGCTGCAGTTCTCTTCCAAACTAGTAACAAAGAAAATTAATGATGTATGAAATATCAGATATTGTAGGAACCATGTAAAAAAAAATATATATATAAGAAGCAGGATGTAAGGAATCATGTAAAAATAAATAAATAAGAATGAGAAGCTTCTTCCCTTTCTAGCTTCTGCTTGAAATGTGTAAAATATTTTACTGTTGCTGCTGCAGGATAAGAAGGCTTATCTGGACGTCATTCACACCTATATGGAAGTCCATGGAACTGTTCACGGGACAAGCACAATGTATATTCCTGGCTATGTAAAAAACCACGGTATACTCAGTGGGCGGGATTTGCAGTTTCTGCTGAGAGAAACCAAGGTAAGTTGGTAAAGGAGAAATGGCAAAAATAGCTAAAGATAGACAGTATCTGAAGTACATGCATCTCACCTCCTACGGTTGCGCTCCTAATTTTAAAGTACTGGAAAAATAAATGACCGATAAAAAGGAGATTTAACTGTCTTCTGTATGCTAAGAATACATTTTTCATCATGTCCGTGTTTTGTGGATTGACAGCTGTTCCTAGAAAATCAGGACCACAACCTACAGTTTGAGAGAGATGCTTAACAACCAACTTGAAAAATGTGGATGAACGCATTTTTCAGTTTCCTAAATGTGATATTCAGCTCAAGATTACTAGCTAAGAGTATAGTTTTAGATTTGTAATGTGAAAGTTAAGCATTATCCAAAAGACATGCAATAGAAATGGTTGCTCTGCCCTACCAATGACTTTAACCTAGACTAATCCTACTCTCTAGGGTAGAAAAGAAAGAAGGCAAGCACTTCATGCTCGATTCAGTTCTTTCCTCTGTTCCAGTTGTGCAGAGAGAGAGAAAAACATTGTGTGCTTTTTGTGGTATGCTTTGCCTGTGGCCCCATAGTCAAGGGAGCTCAAGATAAAGGACAGTGTATATATTTAAATAATTTTTTGTCCAGGAAATTAGAATACTTTGGATTTTCAATGCCATTCCCATAATCTTTGTGGAACACTTTACAACATAAAGGTAGTCTACTAAAGCACTTTTAAGTAGAATGTTTAACTTTCAGTTGCTGAAATAAATGGGTCGTGTTTAAAATTAGCAGAAATATATGGAACTTACTCTCCATCGCTGATGGTTCCTTGCTGTGCACTTTTACTGAAAGAATCTATTAAAGAAGAAAAGAAAAAGCAAGTACTTCTCCAGTCTTCCCACACAACTGTAGAGATCTCCTTTTTGAAATATTTGGGAAAATGATGGTAATTTGACATCTCTGCGTGACAGCTGTTGGCAAATTATGACTTTTTAAAGGCAACCACTGGGTGTATGTACTTGATGCATACAGATACACATAATGTTGCAGATTAAAAAGTCAACATTTACTTTCATCATAGATAATACTGAGATTACACAGCTTTCACCTTCATGGAGTCTGAAATCACTGTGTTAATCATAGTACTAACGTGGGTAGAATATTGACATAGTAATAACCCCAAGTACAAACAATGACTTCTTTCTGGAAAAAACTGCATTCTGTTCACCAAAATAGTAAAATAAGCTAATGAGCTTCTTATTGAGTTGCTGAACTCTAAATTTACAAAGAACAGTTCATAATACTAGTTATATTTGAGTAAGTCTTGATCTTGAATTCTTTATTGTCTGTCTTACATGCGTTACAATAAAAGACTTGATTTTCATTGTTAACAGGATAGCTCATCTAGTTATTGGTTATATTTGCTGTACGCTAAGATGCAACATAAAGACACAGTTTAGGACAAATCAAAGCTAGTGCATAATATGCAGTTTACACGGGGTTTTATGTCAGGAAGTAGTGAGACTAGCTTTACTCCATCCTTTGACTAGTAATTGCAAGACTGAATGGAAGATACTAGCTTGTGACAGTGAAGTACTCCTGTGCTCAGTAAGTTCCTTATTCTTCACAAACTATATTTCTGTGAGAAGTGTGGATCCAAGCTGTAGTGTTTTCAGAGCCCTACAGGCATTTTAATGATTTTCTATACAATTGGTGTGTTGTTGGATTTTTATTTTTTTTTTCCTCCTATCATTGAGGAAAGTTCTTTGAAAACTTACAGTTCTTTTTCTTTTTAGCTGGATGACTTGTTAAAGGAACTCGCACCTGTCAACTTACTTTCCACTGCCTTGTTTTGCCCTTAGACAGTGAAATACCAATAGGTAACAGTCATGATTCTTGATCGGAGCTTTGCAATCCCAAAAATTGGTCCCTGAAGTAGTTGGTACAGTACATAGTTATTCTTGAAAGCATGCAGCTGCCGTTTTCTTCTAGAGTATGTTACAAAGCAATGTATTTCAGAATAAGTATGCTTTTCAAGCAGGAGGGGGCTGTTTGAGATTCATCGTGGCTAGCTCAGCTGTGCAGTGCGTGACACAAAGTGGAGATGCCAACAGTTCCTGATGAGAAGGTGGAGAGCCATTCATCACGTCAGAGGAAAATAGGGTAGGCAAGCTGGCAGCCTTCCTGCCAACTTAGCTGACTTCCAGCCAAGTGGGCAGCTGGAGGAGTTGGACCAGGCTGTCTTGGAAGAACCAGTACTGAATTTTTGAAGAACACTCCTCCTTTAGAGAAAGTTTCAGATGCAAGTTTTTGCTTCCAGTCACTGAGCATTTTTGAGGGAATCCAAATTCTTCTATTAAATGATTTTTACATTTTCTGAATGGTAATTCATAAAAGCAGAACCAGTACCCTGTTGAGGCGGTTTGGGAAAATTCCTGCTGTGGTGTTGGCAAAGTTTAAATAGGGAAATGAACTTCTACATTTTTTTCTTATATTGCCTTTTAGGATGTAATATACTTTCACACACTTCACAAAATCAGCTGCATAGACATTTAACTAGAGAATCTATTCTAAAGGAGTTTCAATCTCAAAAGGATCAACTTCTTCAGAAAGCATTGTATATTCTTGAGGAAAAATATATCAAGATAGTTAACAATAGTCTTTATTGCATGTCTCTTTCTGTTGTTCAGAAGAAAATGTATGAAGTAGTTCAGTAAGGAGGCATACAAAAGTGATGATAACCCCACCAGCCCAACGGAATAAATTAAATGAACTGCACTAACATTAAAAAGAGGAGAAGAAAAGATAAACACTCCTGTTCATGGAAGTATAGCACTTAGTCTCTGGAATATGAAATACTTCTCTTAAATATTGCTATTCAGGACTATACAGTTGCAACATTCATTCCTCATTTTATTCTTTTGCCCGTAAATGAGAAAGACTATTTGTTCAAGTACTCATTATAATAATGGTCCAATCTGCTGCTGTAAACTCCGTGGATAAATTGCTTAGTGTCAACTGAAAGTCACTGGTTTTAAAGAATACAGATTTTTTTTTTAAATCTGCTTTTTCATGGGAGTGGTTGTAAAGCCCTCGTCGAGTTGGATGTCATGTCAGGGAAGTTTCCATTGAGCTACTACACCATGAAGAGAATGCCAACACTGGGATCAGACAAGTGGCGTCTTGGCTGATATGGTGCTTGCTGGCCAGCTCCAGAGCCTGAAATTTCCTAACAGGGATTCAGTTCACTGCAAATGCAGAAAAGGTTCCTAAGGAGCTTTTCTCATGAAACCAAAGTATTCCAGCTGAAAGGTTTGAACTCCTGCTTTATTTGTTTCACTTGGGCAAGTGAGACCCTGGTTTTGATTCATGCAGCCCTACAGGTACGGCTGGGTAGCAGACCTTGCAGACAGGGAAGTGGTTTTAAAACATACACGCGGAAGCCAAAAAAACAAAACCACCCTGATGCTAATAATCTTTCTACATCTGCATTTTTCTGCTGTTATCTCCTGTAGATACACTTTTATAAACTTCTGACAATCATCTTGTTGTATGTGGCATAAGCATACACCGCCTGCTGTGGCATGTGCCCACTGGAAGCGCTGTGTTAATAATAACAGTGTGGCTGTCAAAAACATTTTAAAGTTCAGAAAAATGCTCACACATAACGAGATGCTTACAAGAACCAACCCACCAGTGGAGTACAAAGGAATTCCACTCTGCCTAGTAATCTGGCTCCAGCTAATAAAGCAAGGTCAGGACTGTTTCTGAACATCGTGTAGCCAAGGTTACGTTATCAACCCGGATTGGAAGCTTTGCTTTATGGACCTCCAGGTGCGGGGTGAAGGTGCCTGTCCTCTGCAGGCTGCATTATCGTGCACAGCACCTGGTAAGAGAGGACAATGGAAGCCATGGTCAGGAGCCTTATGTGGAGGCAGCAGAGTGCATTTATTTCAGAAAACAGTGGAAACGCCGTCTGCTCCTAACCTGCCATTTCTGGGGGAGGGCGCCTTCTCTTCCACACAGCCTTATCTGTACTGAGGATGGATGGTACTTCGCTGGTAGCTGACAGTAGTTGTCCATTTTTAGTCTTTGTTGTTTCTACTGTATGTTTTTCCTTCTTTTTCAATTAGTGACTTGCAGCGTTTCTATTACATGCCTTTAGGAAGTACCTTGAGGGATTGTTTTAGCCTTTTGGGAAGTAACAAGTTGCATGTAATTCAAAGGATTAGCAAATTAGAGCATCATGCCAATGAGTTATGGAAAGGACTTCTCTAATACTTGCCTTATGAATCCTAATGAATGTGGCTTTCTTGGAGCAATTAAGATAGCCCTCAGCTTTGATCTTTATCCTGTACAACAATACTTACCAAGGAACTTTGTAAGGCCAGTTTTCAGGAGCAGGGTGGAGATTCAGTTTGGCGATCTCAGCTGAGCTGATGAAGGTGTTGTGATGGTGACTAACAGAAGACTTTGGAGGGCTGCAAGTAGGAGCTTGGGACTGCGAGCAACAGCAACCTTGGACTCAGGGCCGGCAGGCAGCACACACGGACCCAGCATTCTAGCCATGAGGAGCATCCTTCTTTATTTCTTCAAAGGTGTGGTGCTGCTTAGAAGTAAGGTTTGAAAATGGATATGAAACAGGTGGTAGGCTATTTATTATAGATTAAGTGTTGACAGTGTGCTCTGTGCTGTCAAAACATAAAAACCCGTTTCTTTCCCCATGGAGCTTCCTCCTAAACAAACGGACCAGTCAGACACAAAACTGTTCAGCAGTGCACAGCAGCAGTTTATTAGAAAAGTGAAGGACGAAGCAAACAAACCAGCCTTCTCTGCATAACAGGCAAACGCTGGATCATGGGAGAATTGATGCTTCAGGTGGTTCTAATTGCTGGTTCTCATCTGGTTGGCTGCTTGAACTAGGGAGTAGTTAAAAAATAATAATAATGACAACAATAACATCCTATGTGCAGATTGCATGAAATGGTTTCACATCTGTAATTCGTTCTTCTCAAGAAACTGGAGTTCCTTTAAATTAAGCCTCGAGGTGAATGTCAGTATGTAACTTTTTTTTTTCTGGCAAAAAGGTGATGTATCTTATGCCATATATAAAACCCAAATTTACATAATCTAGCTTTAGTGGAGTGAGGCTTTCAGATCTGTTTTTATCAGCCACTGGAGAGTTTTCTGCAAGATTTCTCAGCAAGATAGCTGAGAAACATTTTGCAAGTGGGTGACTTTTTTTTTAACCTGAAAATTGGAAACTGAAAGACCAATCTTCAGCTCTGTGCAGTGAAAATTGCATGCTCTCAAACGAGGTGAGAGGTGTTAACTTTCTTTTTAGCCAGCCAACTTGGAATTTGTGCTGTTGTCGTGGGTCAGAGAGGAGCGAGGCTGCAGTGCCTGCGCCCAGCCCGACGTGCATCGATGCCACGGGTAGCTCCTGGAAGGGCCCTTTGGTTGGGAATATCCTGTTACTAGGTTTCACTGCTGTGTGGGAGAAAACTAAATGTAGAATAGTATAATTTGAATGGTTCTGAGTACTTGATTCTAATAGTGACGAAGATTCCCTTTTGTTTTGAAAAAAATGGGCAGCTTTATAAGTGTGTGTATGTACATGAAGTCATTCAGCGGTGCTGGGAACTTGATGGTATCAGAGCTTTTCATCTCCTATTACACACAGACTTCCAAATAAAAATATTTAATTCAGGGGGTTTAATTATGCTAGGCCAAGGAAAGGGGCAAGATCTAAATAAATGCTGTGCCACTGACAGAATATTACATTTCTTTGCATTGAGGACAAACACTGCCTTTTTGGAGCACCTGTGATCTCAGCTGACAACAAGGATAGCTTTGCGGTGCATTTTTTTCTCCTTCCATTTGCCTTGGGGGCACTGAATCCACCTAAGCCTATGCAAGCTCTTGCTGACTAGTTACAGTCTCTTCAGCTGCTGTTTGCTGCCATCTACCGTTTTAATTAGACTTAATCAGTCTGGCAGGAGCATGGTCGTACTGGCAAACGAGCAAGTTGGCTGATGTGGGGGAGAGGGGGAAGACAGTCGTGTAGCTGTTCAGGGAGGTCATTGCAGTAAAACCTGGACCTGCAAGAGAGCCCAGCAGCTTCGTGTGAATGCTAATCGAACCACCAAATGACTTCTTTCCCCTCTCCCACCCCAAAAAACTGAAAGAGTCCATTGTTGTCTCAGCCAAATGTAAAAACACTCAGCTCATTACAGAAGATTTTGGTCAGATGTTTGACGAGACATTCCAGTACTGCTCGGGTGTGAGGGAGTGAGCTACTGGATCCCTCCCATTTTCTTCTTAACATTAAGTTCTCTTAGGCTTGTACATTTTGAATGTGTTATTGTTTAGTTTATGTTAGTTATTAGCTTTCAATTTTTGTGAAGAACAAAATGAAGATAGGCGATGTTTTCTATTTTTCAGCTCTTTGTTGGTCTTGGATTTCCATATGAAGGGCCTGCTCCTTTAGAAGCTATTGCTAATGGATGTGCTTTTCTGAATTTAAGATTTAATCCACCAAAAAGTAGCAAAAACACAGAATTTTTCAAAGGCAAGCCTACACTCCGAGAGGTAAGCTTTGTTAATATTGGTAATTCCTGTATTGAAAATTTTTGTGGGTTTCTTTTTAGTAACACAATATAGGAAAAGTCGCATAAATGTTCACAATTTGTAGCAAAAAGTGTACAACTGTCATTTTCCTTAGCCATCAGTGGTATTTTCGGTCCTTATTTCTAAAGAATAATAAAAAATTCATTCCCATACTGTTAAGCTTTACTTCTGTGTCTGTCTGTGCATTCTGCTAATACTTGTTGAGAGACCACAAACAGGAATTTCATTAGGACACCTGATGTTCTGAGCTGAACAGGTAGGTCAGCATCTCTGGAGGTGTTCAAAGGAGGTGTAGATGTGGTGCTTAGGGGCATGGCCCAGGGGTGGACTGGGCAGTGCTAGGTAAGTGGTTGGGCTTGGTGGTCTTAGAGCAAGGACTTCTCCAACCAAGGTAACTCTAAGCTTCTGTGTCCTGTGATGCTGATGCATCATTTGAAAGTTTTTGTTTGGCTGAGGAAATGTTACTGTATACTTCTCGGGAAGTGAATAGGTGTTTAAGTAAATGAGAAAAACAGTATTTGCAGGTCACTGTGTATGTTTTGGGATTTTTTTTCTTCAGAAAAGATCCACTCAAGGCACTGTTGCATGCTGGTATTAACACTAACAACCCACTGCATTTGTGGTTGAACACTGAATAAATTTGGAGAAGTGATTCTTCAAGAGAACAGGAAAACCAAACCTCAAGGTTTCATAACAGACAGGGTGTTAAGACTCTGGTAAGGGAAAAACAATGCTAAGGAAGCCAGTTCCTCATCCTGGCACTGATGTTCAACACCAGATTTTTCTTCTTTGATGTAGGTAAAATTCAGCACATGCAAACATCTGATAGTCGCGTAGCCATTTCTGACATGAACACTTTTACTTGGGGCCGTTCCTCAGCAGTGTGTGTGTATGTGTGTGTCTATTTCCTTTCCGTGCTTGTCTGAAGGACAGCTCTGTGGTAACACTTGGGTGATGTGAAGCACGCACAGCAGTATTTCCGAGGAGAAGTTGCACTTGGGCTTTACAAACTGTGCACTGAGCAGCACCAGGTAGCTCACGAGCATAGGACAGCTTCCCATTTAAAACAATGAACATGAGTTACTCACAACTCTGTGTGCCAGGGCTGTGGCCATCGTTCAGCTCATTACACACTCAGCAGGTACAGGACACTGAGTCCAAACTGACCCCTGCTCACAGCTCCCATTGCTAATGAAGGAGATCACAGTAAGAAGTCCATTTAAACCTCCTCTTTGGCACCTTTCGAAGCTTTCCTTCCCTGAGCTGCTCAGCAGTGTGTCTCTTTTTCCAGTTGTTCTGTGCCCAGATGCTGGAACCAGCCAGGCCCAGTAAATCATCAGGACCCACCCAACCCAGCAGGAATCATAGCGCAGGGAGCGCTGTGCTAAATCCTGCCGGCTTCTGTTGGCTGGAACAGAAATGCCGTGTGCTTGACCACACAAAAGTCATCCCTGTTGGCAGCTCTGCTACAAAACAATATAATGGGTGTTCGTCACAAACGTGGCTCTGTTCACGTGCGCAGCTGATCTATCGTAAGCGCAGCCTCTGCTGGAACTGCCACGGCTGCCTTTAGATCCCATTGCCTCTTACCCTGGTGCTGGTTCCTAGGAATCGAGGAAGTCCTTACAGTACAATACCTCTGCCAGTGTTTTTAGGTATTAAAGGAGAACAAGAGCTTGTGTAATTCTGCAAAGTAATTGGTTATCTTCAAGTTGGTCTATGAATAAATTTTATATTTAGTACAGTGCAGGGAACCATTGCGAGTCACTGTATCTCTTGTTCAGGTGGGATTTATTTAGTGGATCTGGGGCAGGAGGTGGCCAGGTTCCCTTCTGCTCCTGAGATGGGGTCCTCTGGCAAAAACTCTATATGAAAGCTGGAAAAGACCAGAAAAGGGGGGAAATAAAACACTGTGTGCTAAATCTAGTCAAAATGTGTTTGGTGGGTGCAGTTTCTTTCTCTACAGAAATCATTTTCTGCTTTTAGGAAGAAGGAAAAGAGACTTTCACTTAGAAATTCCAAATGCATTTATGAGAACTCTTAGGGGCTTTTACCATAGCCAGGAGAAGTATCTCCTGAACAGACGAAACGTTACGCCTCAGCTCATTAAATCATTTCAGTATTAGGAAATAATACGTTTTGAAAGAGCAGGTGCAGAATAACCTGTGCAGTAAAACCTGGTGAGAACGGGAGCAGTGACTGGCCTGAGAAGCACAGCTCTTCATCGGCCAGATCAGGTCTGGCCAATGTGGTAGAGAAAAGGGTGGTCTGAAGCCTAATGCTGAAAGCTTTGGGTAATTTACAATGCTGTCTGTATTCATATTTTTAAGAGCACAATGGAAGTTTTTTTTGTGATCCCATGTATAATTGTAAGACTGATTACTTTTGTTCACAAACTAAATGCAATGGGCAAATTTGCAAATTTAGTTCCTTGTGTTCACTAAAGCAAGAGAGCAAGCATGGTGTATTTTTTTAGCATCATGCATAAAGCGGCAGGTGTACAAAAATTGTCTATGACTAATCTATCCTGCAGTTTTCTGTGTTTATTTTGAAAAGTTTTCTTCTGAGACCAGTGTGAAACGTTCCCCTCTCTTCTGCAGCTTTTCCTTCCCTTCGATGTGTTCCCTTGCATGTTCATTTCACTCCCACGAGCCTGTCACCAAATATACCCTCAGTGCTGTCCTGCTAGTTCTGAAGCATCTAACAAGCAATCTCTGATAGCGCTTTTCTCAGTTACCTACTTGAGTATTTATTGAAATTGTTTTCTGACAAAGGGGTGAGCACAATGCAGTTAACCCTTCCTGAGGTCAGATCACGCTTGCAGTAGCAGCAGCAAGAGTCAGAACTCATCCGAAGCCATAGAAATGGTCATTTGCTACTCATGGAAGCTTGTAATTGCTTGAAATTTGGGGAGATTGAGCAGGGACACAGTCTGGAGGTGGGACAGGGCAGGGATGACAGCTCTGGGGGGCAGTCACGTGGGACCAGCCTGGACTGGTAGCAACTGCTGCTGAGACAACGGGCGGCTTTCTGCCAAGGGGCCTTAGCCCAGTTCATATTCAGTTTTCCAGCTATAGTTGCTCTCTAAATTGTAAACTCAAAAAAAATCTGAAAGGTAGCTCAGAAGGAATGAAGCTGACTTCTCAGTTCTAGCAGAACCCCTGGGTTAGTGTAGCACATCCTATCTGTTCAGTCTGGTGAAGGGAGAGAGGAAATGATATCCTGAAACTGGAATTTTTACCGATGTCGTTTCTTCCTTTCAGTTAACGTCTCAGCATCCCTATGCTGAAGTTTACATTGGGAAGCCCCATGTCTGGACTGTGGACATCAATGATCTTTCTGAAGTTGAGAGGGCTGTGAAATCAATTTTGAATCAAAAGGTGAGAAATGTATTGTCGATTTGTAATCAACACCTGAGAGCATATAATGGAACATGCGTAGGCTTCCGTAATGTTAGTCTAATTAGAGGGCTGTGCTTTGTACGTTATTGGGGAAAAAAATGTTGTCTTTACAACTCTATGGGATATAGTTATCATGATTTTGTACTAGACAAGTCAGTTTTTTACCTGAATTAAAAAAAAAAAAAGTGAATTTGGATAGAAGTACGAATTTTGCATGTAATTTATGAAGCAATACATATGTTCTGTGCATTCAGTGAGGTTTCCTTGTTGATTCTTAGAGCAGTGCAAGCTGTCCAAGCACATACTTAACTATTTTGACTGATTTTATAGCCTTAACATAACTGCCACTGAAGTGCCCGTACACTTGCAGCATGGGGATTCTAATCAGAGCACTTTCAAAAGAAACAAAAAGTTTGAAAAAATGTTGACAGCATGTTCAAAGGTATCATGTTCTTTTTTGTCTCAATGTTTTGTTTTTTCACTTAAACTCCTAGAGCTGAAAGTTAGTTAAAACAGGAGCCCTAGTATCCAGAAGGGTCTCAGGGTAGTTTTATATCTATTACTTTGCAATAAACCATGAAGTTCCAGCATTTGACATCTCCTTAAAGATAGTCACTGAGCAACTTTATAGCCATTACAAAGGAGTAAAAATCAGCTCAAGCTGCTGCTGACTCTGTACAATTGTGGTTTGTTAAGGAGTATATTTTCATTTATTTTTGCTTCTATAACATAGTATTTGGAATACAAGCTGCTACCACAGTGCAACACGATGCTGATTTGAATAAAAATCTCTAACACACTGTTTCAACAGATCGACCCCTATTTGCCCTACGAATTTACGTGTGAGGGAATGCTTCAGAGGATGAATGCATTTATTGAAAGACAGGTATGAAATTTTAGACTTTTATTGTGGGCAGATCTTCATGTTGGAAAGGGAAGACCCTCTCAGTTCTAAAGCTTCTTAATGCTGCTGCTGTTCAAGTCAAAATGAACTTAACTGTGCAGTCTGTGGCTGGGCGGTTGCTTGGTCTGCTGAGGTTCCACTGGCGGTCTACAGGTATGGGGACGTTCACTTTTGTGTACATGGCTCATAAAGCTCCTACCAGGTACTGTACCACTGGGATTTTTTGTATACGCAGAGGATGTTGAGCAGTTAAGATAGCGTGCTGGCTACTAAAATATTCATTCTGCATTTCAGTTTTGGCACTGGGTTCTGATTTATCCATGAATGTCTGATTTGCCATATGTCTTTGCAAAAAATGGGTATACTTGTTTGTATTTCAGGATTTACAGGAGCTTTTAAAATTATTATATAACCGTGTATACACATTTATACAAAGAACCTTCCTTCTTCTGGTATTGTATCGAAGCAGACAGGCAAAGTAATTTTTCAGCATGTACGTGGCCACTTTTACAGCTGGCATTGTTGGTGTGTACACACAAAAAGCACCTCTGGACCATGAAGTGTCACATAAATATCAAGATAATTTTGTGGTGTGTTTGCTTGGTCTCCTGCCAAAACCAGATCTGTTGCCAATGCCAACTTTTCCCTTTTGTCCTGGCTGCTGCAGGAGAGTGATAAGAATAACCTGTATCTCTGTTATGCCAATTAACTTCTGGAGTTTCTTTCAGGAGCTCTGGATGGGCTCCCGTACCTTTATTTCTGAAGATGACAGTGTTACAGGCAGTAGTAAAGAATAACATGGCGTCAGAACAAAAGTTCAGTTAACATAGCATAGCTACTTCCAACTTCCTGCCAATAAACACTTCGATGTTTTTTGCTGCTGTGCTGATGCTGTAGCCTGTAGAAATACCTCTGCTGCTGTTGATTCTTCTGAGTTAGCTGTAAATGAGATTTTTGGTCAATAAGGGAGAAATGGAGCTCCATGCAACAAAGATAGAGTCAAAGTAGAGAGAGCATCTTTGGGCAAAACTGTTTCTTTCCCCTCTACACCTCTCCTGAGGACTAAGCCCTGACCTTTAGTGCAAGGCCCTCAGAAATAAATGCAGCAGTATCATTTTGTTCACTGCTTTGACTAATTGTCAAAAACTGTTGTTATTTCACAGCCACCAGGATGCTCAAGTACCATTACTAGCTCTATGTACTTAGTGTTGTGCCTGCCATGTCAGATGAAGCAAAACAAAAAAAGTTAAAACCTTTTTTTTTTTTTTTTAAAGAGTTTGGTGTTGGAGGCAGGCAGAACAGCATCCTCCTTTGTCAGCAGCAGCTTACTTAGTAGGCTAAGTGCCTCACCTTAAAATTGTGGTTATAGGTGGAGTATAAACACCACCTCTGGTGAACCTTCACCTCTGGTTTTGCATAGCATCTTTTCTTTATTTAACCCTTATGTGTGTCTGATTGTGGGGCAAGCCAGACTGGGGTGAAGTTACCACTTAGGTTGCCTGCTGTGGTTGATCAGGAAACCAGACAGTGACAGCTGAGTGCAGCATGGCTACAGCACAGCCGTGTGTGTGTGCTATTACCTGCAGGGGCAACGTCCTGAGACGTGCTTACAGGCAGTGTGTGCTGGGGAAGCCTTCCCACTGAGCTACGGACCAGAAATGGGAGGCTTGGCGTTATTGCCAAGAAATATTAAAAGCTGAAGTCCCCAGCAAATGGTGAAGCCTCACAAGTGGTTTCCCTGTCTGAATAACCTTGTCTTCTGTCTGCATAAGCTGGCAATCCCATCCAGTGTTACAGTATTGGGTTGGATTTGGAACCCAGATGAATTTCCTCCTGCATACAGTATTTAAATGTCGATTATAAAAGTGCAGAATAAGCAGAGCACCGAAGTCCAAATAACACAACAACCTCCATAAGCAACTTCATTAGAAATACCTTCGACCATCTGTTGTGAACCTGCTTCCTGTAGATGCTGTTAAAATCATTCTACCACAAATGTCCTCTAAAATTACTCGTTTCTTTCAAATCTGAAAGCTCATTCCTTTGCCATTGAATGCACTAAACCAAATAGATCAATGGCACCTATCAATGTAAATGTGTATGACTAAAAAATTAATTCATTTGCACTGTGACTTCATGAAAAATCAGGACACTGATTTTTTCCTTCTCAATTTATGCCTGAAGCATAAATTGAGACATATTTAGACTATAGATGCGTATCATACTACTTTGGTACACCAAAATGCTACTGTGCAGATAAAGCAGCTGTACAAACCAGTAGTTCAGTCACTGTGGTTATATTAAAGTGTTTGTGAGGATAATATTTATAAAATGTGGACTGATACGGTCTAACTGTGAACATCTGCTCTGTCCTATCAAATGTTTGACAAATGATTTAGGATATTAAATTTATGGTTAGACCTAGGGTTACTAAAGCCTCCGGCTTCAGCAGGGGAAATCTAAACAGAGGAGAGAAAAATCAAAGAACTGATATTGAGAATTGGTAGATGTTTTGAGGTCTTGTCTCCATTAAAATCTCAGGTAGCCCAGCCTTCCTAAGCCTTGGGTCGCAGTCTGGGACCTGTTCCTAGTTTTGTCAGGAGAAAGCAAAGCAAACCCTCATGGAATGGGCCCAAACCTTTTGATGTCCTTCTGATGAGAGCTGCCAAATGCTAAAGTGCTGGCTGAGTATAAAGCAGTGTTACATAAGGGCACCAATTAAATTTTTATCTTTTTCACACTTTAAATGTCAAGACTGTAAAAAACTTGTACTAGTCTTTGCTGGCAGGAGTGTTTAGGTAGTTTCTTCCTTCCCTTTTCTGCTACATGTGATGCTTGGCTGCACACATTACTCTCAGCCAGCTTCTCTCATCGCTGGGAGAGCACCACCAGCAGCACTTCCACCCAGAAGGGCAAATGAACTCTTTGAACCCTGGCCGCTTACTCAGTAGCACCGTGAGTCCCCTGACCCTTTCCAGAGCAGTCGCCACATGGCCCACTTGAGGCATTTCCCACCTGTGGGGTAGCTGGCCTCTGCAACTTCCTCGTGGTACTACTGAGAAAGCCAAAATGGGTTGGATTTGTGAAATTAAAGAGAGGATCTACAGTTGCTTATGATTAATGAAGCAAGGTACAGGTGGAAAGAAGCTTCTTGGGGAGCCATGACCCCACCTTACCTCATTTTAACGAATAATCAGAGGTGGCAATTCCCTCATGCTAAAAATTCTTTTTGTTATGTTTCTTAGTAATTTTAGTACAACCAAGGTGAACTGAAAAATGAGTGTTTGGGGTTATAATCACTTATTTAACTAATGGGGAAATTGCTACCAAGGGACTGGCTGCATCATAACAAGATATTGTCTGTCGCTGCAGGACTTCTGTCACGGGCAGGTGATGTGGCCCCCGTTAAGTGCCCTTCAAGTGAAAATCGCTGATCCTGGAAAATCCTGTAAGCAAGTTTGTCAGGAAAGCCAGCTCATCTGTGAGCCTTCCTTCTTCCAGCATCTTAACAAGGACAAAGCCCTGCTTAAGTAAGTACTTAAAAGCACAAATACGTTATTTGGTCTCTCTATGTTGCTCTGTTTTTTTGCCACATACGATGCTTGGTGTACGAGTTCTAGGAGAAGGGCAGGTGGGAGTAGAAGCGCTGTTGGTTTTGGCAGCAGCAGCCTGTGAGGTCAGCAGTCAGTCCTTCACAGCAGCGGGTGGATGGCAGAAGTTACTGCTGTGCTGTGAGCTGTTTCACCTAGCGTGTGTTTTTGCAGTGAGGATACAGCCCCGAGACAAGCGCAGAGCCAAAAATTTACATCTTTGCCTTCCTTCTTCCACCTCCTACGTGCAAGCTCGGTACAGTGCCCTTCAACATTGGGCTGCCTGCATTAAGCAAAGGTGCTTGTGCTGCAGCATCACAGATGCCAGAAATGTGATTGTGTTTGAAGGGACTTGTAAAACCTGGGGCCCTCTGCAGCCCTGGCTGAGCAGGTGCACTGCTCCACAGCTTTGGCTGTAATGAGTAGTACCTGAAAAAAAACAGTTCTAAAGGTACTTGGTTTAGTTTGTAATAGGGTATTTTACTTTATTTTTAGTGAGTTTAGTACTCAGCTCCCATAAAGTCCACTGATTTTGATCATGTGCTTCACTTTTTAGGCATAACATCGAGTGTCTCACCATCGAGTCTGTGAATGACATTCTGGTCCCCTCCTTTGATGGCAGAAGGAAGCACTGCGTTTTCCAAGGTGACCTCTTACTGTTCAGCTGTGCTGGATCCCACCCAACCCATAGAAGAATCTGCCCGTGCAGGGACTATATTAAGGGACAGGTTGCGCTTTGTAAAGACTGCCTATAGCAGCAGAAGAGCTTCTTTTGAGTTGAGGACAAAATGTAAGTAGTTTTGAGAGGAGCTACTTATTACTTCCTGCACTTTTGTCCAGGTTTTTGGCTGCAGGCAGAGCTATCATTGCTGGGCAGAATTATCTACTAAGAGAGGAAGGATTCATAACAAACAGCTAACTGATCTTTTTTTTCCTATAAGAACATTTGCTGTGTAACTCTTCAAATTGCTTCATCTGTTTGCGAAGAGAAATGAGTTTCGTGTTCTACAGTGATTTGAAGATGACTGCACAGAATAGTTTGTAGAAAATTCCCACACCCATCAAACTTCCTTCTTGGTTCTTTGGGTGACGTGTTTTCTATTTTTTTTAACGAGTTAGAACATCCCCGACCATGGTTAGCTAAAGGATGTCAGCATCATTCCAGTAGAAAACTGAAAAAAAGTGTGCTTGGGGGGGTGGGTGCAGGGGAGGGAGGACTACAATTTATTATAGGTGCACTGTTTTGGGGCCTGCTTTATCTCGAATGGCTGTAAAGTGGCTTACTTCACAAGAATTTGGAATCACAAGATAGCTCTTTATCTGTTATTGGCTTATCTGGGCCCAGTTCTTCGTTTTTTTTTGTGTTTGTTTGTTTTTAACTTTGTATTCAACAAGGTATTGTCTGCACCGTGGCTGCTGCACCACAGCAGCCTGAACAGCGAGCATCACGAGTGAGCCAACAGGCAGTTGCCAGAGTGTGACACATCTCGGTGACTCGACGACTGGCTCGGGTGGTGGCGTTCCCCGGGGTGGAACAGCCCCAAGAACGTGCTGCCGCGTCACGGACGGACTCGTCCCAGTTTACTGGTCCCTTTTAGAGAGTGACCCTTGGAATTTGCCCACGCTTCTGTTGTAGTTTGTCTACTAGAAATTCTGTGTGAAGCAAAAAGTATTCAGCATCTTTGGAGCAATATTATCGTTAGAGCCTCAGTTTGTTGCGCCTTCCAGTAGTTCAAGTGTCGCTGAATGACATAGAAAGGTTAAACTAAGCTAACTATAATTATTGTATGGTAGAAATGTAAAATGTCGTCATAACTAGCTAGGTTTTTTAAAGAGAAACTTTTTCTGAAGAACAAGAGGAGACAAACAACTGGTAAGAAAAGTACTGATCAATCTTGGGGGTTGTTTGATCATTTTTCTCTTTAGAGGGGAGGGTTTTCTGCTGCTTTTTGGTCTTTAGTTTTTAACGGGCACACCGGTTACAAAATTAGGAAAAAAAAAAAAATCAAGAGTCTGAGTTTGATTTGAAACAGCGGGTTAAATCTTACTTTCATAGAGCGGATTTTTGTTATTTTCAGCAGAAGGTGGCATGCCTGACAGCACCATTTGTAGTCAGGAAGCAATATGCTAAGGTTAGTGAGAAACAACTCGGCAGTATGTTTCGAAAGCAGCCATCGTCTGCATGTTCCAAATTCGGTTGTGCTCTCATCATAGTGGAAAAAATCACATTGGCATGAGGGCTTTTTCATAAAGGTTAATATTACCAGATAATCATGAGAAGCACCAATGAAAAGCATAGAAACTTCAAATTTTCCTTTTTTGGAAACATCTGGTCAGATTTTTCTTGTAACTGGCATTCATTATCTGTGTGAGCATTCACGTATCTCCTGACCAAAGACCAATCAAGGGAAATGCCGTGTAATCTTGGATAAATTCTGAGGAGCACAGAGAAGTACCAATTGAAAGTTTCAATCTGCGAGCAGTGTTCGCTTTCTCGAGTTTGTTTCTTGCCTCAGCACTCCCGAGGGTGTCACGCTGTACTGCCCGTAGCACTGCTGTGGACTACAGAGGACCTGAATCCTGAGCTTGCTGAGCATCCACAAAGCATCCATGGGAGATGCTGAGCAGCAGCAGTACCCCTGACTGGGTTGTGATGATAAAATCTGCTGTATTTTAGGGTAGTTTTCCAAACCCAGCGCAGTGGGGTCCTTTAAGGGGAGGCAAACATTTTGTATGAAAAGAAAACAAACACAAACTAGTCTGAAACTCTTACTGCTAGCATATCCCAGCACTTGCTGCAGTCAGCACAAATGTAGCCTGCAGTTGTTTTAATGCCCTCGCAAAGCTGGGGGAGGAGGATTAGAAATGCCTCTGAGCAGGTGCGACAGTTCGCTTTGTATTTATATAAAATATTCCCCACATAACTGCGTATTTGTGCAACTGGAAAATCCTGCGTATTAAAGGAAGCCCATGCTTCTACCTGGTGCTGGAAGTCCAGGCGACGGCTGAATTGGTCGTTTAGTTCAGCCCCAGGTTCTTCAGGCAGGCATTTCATTCAGAAGGACATATCACAGAATCACATCAGAAACGAAGATGTGTGTGTGTGCACTTACGAATGCGAACCGCGTCGCTCGGGCTGTAGTGTAATTCCTTGCTGTAAATACCGATGTGCTTGATGCCCACCGCTCTGCGGCCCACTTGGCATTCTGCTTTTTATTTTGCCTCTGAAGTTTTTATAGATGGGGAAGGTTTTGTTGTTATAAGATTTTCTGGTCTAGTGCTTTGCTCAATGTTAAGTCTGCATTTACCACAGCAGGGAGAGTCTATTATAAGCTCTGTTTTTGTTGTTGTTTTTTTTTTACATGCTGTAGCACTATTTCTTTCTAATCTACTGAACTGAATTACTGCATTCTGGCACAAATGAAACAGCAAACACCAATGCCGCTTGCATTTCAGCCAGAGACAGGCTATCTGAACTGGCTTGGCGATCAGTTGGGTCTGATCCAGTTTCCACTGAAACCTATGGAGAATGAGTCCTTAATCGTAAAGAAAAAAGAATCGAGGCCTGTAATTTCATAGGCCCGTATTATTCATTTTGAACATAGTCGCTGGACCTCTATTTTCAGAAGAAATATTACTTTCATGAAATACAGCTTCAGTCTAAATTTCTGTAAAAGGAAGACATACAAGAACTGTAAGTGGATAAACTTTGAAGTGCTGATACCGCACTGCCCCGTCCCCAAGCAGCATTAATTCGTGCATTGGTACATAAGGGAATCCACCCACAGACAGGCACTTGGCAAATCCACGTGGGACTACTTAAAAGTTTGAGTGATTTAGTAAAATGTGTAATAAATCCGTGTTTGAGGATGGAGGCCAGCCTTCTGTCCACATTCCAGAACTATTTTCCTTCCTAACTAAAGGCTAAAGATGTAGTCCGAGTATTGCACTTAAGGGTATTCGAGCTGGGGCTGTGCTACTGGCTGCGGTCGGACAGCTGAGTGTACAGCTTCTTTTACTCCAAAATCAGGTTTCTGCATGACTTGCGTTTGAATATATTGACCAGTGATTGATGGGGAAAAATGTCAAAAGTTGCATAGAAAAACATTTTACAAGCTTTTAAACATATCTCTCATATCAAGACATTCTTTGTTTTGAAATTTTGTATTTTTGTATGTGACCTAGTTTTTTCAAAAGATCTTGTTCCTACGAGATTAGAAGACTTGAGAGAAACATTTACATATTTATTAAAATTAACATAAAATTATGGCTTGCCTTTGAAAGGTGAAGTTGGTAAATACACACTGTTTAAAAATGCCAATATAAACCTCATTTATTTCATATATGCAAGTTGATTTGCACATGTATAAATAGAGTTGCTTTTTGCATTTTTTGCTTAGTTTCTTTGTTTCTTTTTGTACTTTATAGTTGCAGCTCTGTGTTTGTTTATATCAGATTGTTTCTCCTACAAATATTTAATGTTTATGTGCCTTTTTTTTTTTTTTAACTTTGGGGTTTGGATGGGTGTTTTGAATGTGGACACTGTCTGAACAAGTATAATGGAACACTAATTGCAGGTAAAAGTGGTGCTTGATGAGCATATACCTGTTAGCAGGATGAGTTTTGAATGTTTTTACACAGCAGGGAAATTGGTTCTAAAAAAAAAATAAAATACAAGGTAAGGGTTAGTAAGATAAAAGAAACTGTAACATATTAATGATTCTTGCAAAAAGTTGGTTCTGCAAGCAAAATGCCCGTTACTGAATACCTGTAATTTGCCAGGCGTGCTCCTGCTAGGATGGGATGTCTGTGTAATGGCCAGAGAGCAGACTAAAGCGGTTACATTCCCCAGGGAGACAATGCTAACAAAAAATACCTGGTAGTCATACCTGATTTGATCAATAGGAAGAGCTAAGAACTGCGTTCAAGTTGGTGAGGAGCTCGTTTTTTCAGATGGGGATGTCTGTAGGAGGAAATGCATGGGGTGAGCCAGGTGCCCCTACAGTCCTTTATGACACCTGAATTTACAGGTCTCAGTGGAGAGGGACCTCTGGCTGTTCATCTTACTGCAGGTGATTTTCCTTTTAATGCTACTGCTTTGCTGTCAGAAGCACACTTTGCCTGAGAGCTGCTGCCCAGGTCTCGGCAGAATGGGCCTGTTTGTGGGCAGAGCCAGGATTCTGTGCATTCCCTGTCCAGCTCCGCTCCCAAACACTTGTACCGGACTTCAAAACATGCTTATTGAAAGCATTCTGCCTTGTTCAAAGTGTCTGGCAGCTGCAGATGAGGTTGTTAGCTATGTCCTCTCTCCTTACCTGGTCACGCTATTGCTGTCCGTTAAATCCTACTCGAGGTCCTCGGTTTACCCTTTAAATGAAAGACTCTCACCCCTCTGAAAAGCGAGTGGCCCCTCTGCGTCATAAAGGTGATTTACAAGTTTTCTGCTCTCAACATAAACAAAGTTCAAATTGCTTTTTTAAGTATAAATTTTGCTCAAGATACATTTCAGGACCAGATTTTGCTCCTAGGAAAATAAATTAAAGGGGATGAATCAGGCTGGGTGCAATCTCATCCAAGTCTAATTAACTTCACGACTCCCACTGGCTTCAGTGATAGTGCAACTCCTCCTTTAATTTCTCCACAAATTAAAAAAAGCAGCTCTCCCTTTTTAATAAAGCACTCTGTGCTACAGCATGGAAATCAGATGCAGGTTGCACTGCACGCGTTATCAGCAACTGGTTCTGTCTCTGCTGTGGCACCTGCCATCGCCTGCTGGGTTGGTGTTACTTGTTCAGGAGTGTCACTGCAGAACTTGGCTGTCTGTCTGTCCAGCCTACATTTTGAAGTGCTGGGGGCAGTGGAGGCTGGTTTTTTGTTGTTGCGGTTTTTAAAGAGAGTATTAGCTCTCCATTTACGGTTTTACAGTCTTTTTTTTCCAGGGGTGCTAACTTTTTTGGCATGGCTATTCCTTTGTGATGTTTGCCCTACGGCTGCTATGCCTTCAGCTTACAACTTGTGATTTCCATTTGTAGTTCTCTGATCCCGTCGTTTTAGGGACCACTGTAAAGTCAAGGAGAGCAATGCACTGACACATGTATGTTTTCTCTTCAGGCTGAAGGGGCCTGGGACAGATACAGTTTCCTTTAGATGTGCTTTAATACTGCTGTAAATGTAACATCAAAACCTGTTTTATGGGCAGTGACTTAGCTCGTCTTCACATTTTTAAACAGCTCTATAGTGTGTTTTTTTTTAAAGTTAGTTTTTAACTTCCAGATATTATATTTAAATGGAACATGTAAACAGCAAGCTCTGTGTATCGAGTGTGAAATGTTTACTGTAGGAATGTGCTGAAAATACCAGGGGCTGAACCTCAGATTTGAGGCATTGTTTGTGGTCTTTTTCCAGGGAAAAACAAAATGCAACCATTGTAGATGTATCTTGTAATCCTTCACATATCCACCTAATGAAAACCAGTAGTAGCTTTTGATTCAGCAGGCCTCGCAACAGCACTAAGCCACCTGCTTATTAAATGGGTAAATCAATCAGGTCCTTAAGTATTGATAAAATGAGTCATAACCCCACGGCCCACACACACAGCACTAAAAACATGCTCAGCTGTAACCAAATCAGAAGCACCTTACTCTGCTGGGGACTGGGGTGGGCATCCTGCACTGAGACTCCGTGTCCCTTTATCGAAGGCATGGGAGCAGCATCCCTCAGGGTGCACAAGGGCTTGCAGAACTGATGCATCACGGACCCTGCTGTCCCCACGTTTCTCAGCAAGGGTGAAACGCGCTGCTGCCTCCCTGTACCAGGGAAAGATGCCCAGATCGCAGTGCGCTGAGGTGCCTGCAGGCACCGGCCAGCCCTCAGGTGGCACGGCCTGCCTCGATCCTAGCAGCTGCAAAGGAGTTCAAGGTATCACACAGGTACACGATAAATCAAGTTAATCTAATCGACTGCTGTCTGAAGGCAGTTCATTTTAATAGGGTTATGCCCACAACTAATTTGTTATGGTCATTAACAAGGCTGTAGCGCTACAATGACAGTGAAAACCATTTTTAAGAAGCCCTGGGTTTATTTGGTTTTCACAAAGAAGTATAGTAGAGGAGGAGGAAATGGCAGTGTTTACCAAAGGGAAAAATAAATATTTTTGAGAAGGATTACCCTGAAGATTCTAAGAGAGAAATGACAAAAATAGGGGAATACTCACAAAACTAGTTTAAGAAATTAGTTTAAGCTTAGAGAGGTTTGTCTCCTGAAGCTTGTTTGGCTGGCCACTGTAGGGTCAGCCTCTGGAGGGTAACGTGGGGCAGCTCTCTGGGCTCTGCTCTGATTCATCCCCTGGAGGAGTCTCTCCATGGGCAAAGGCTGTAAAATTCTGACTAATCCCCATAGCACCATAAATGGGAGAAAACAAAACAAAAACTTACTGAATCTGTAAAAATAAAAAGCTGTTTTTTTCAGGTAGTAATTTGGAATCAGTGAGAGTTTTTAGGTGTCTGTGAGCTGGCTGGTACCACGTGTGTTTGGTCTGAATCTCTCCTAAAATCTTGATTCTTTGTTGTATTTAAATGCTTGTGTTCCACTATATTTTGTTCAAGCAGTTTGATTCCAAAAGAACAGAACACAGTGGTTCGCATACTGTCAAGTTACTGGGGTTCAGTAGGATGGGATTATTTTATTTTGTTTTTTAGAAAAGTAAATGTCTGTACTTTAATGGCATAGACAAATGCTTTGTTTTCACTGTTGTAGAAAAAAAACTAGGGAGAACTTTATTTTTCAATAAACTTTTTTCTTGTGTGATTTGGATTTATGATTGATTTGTGCTTAAATGGGGAGCCCACGAGCTGCCTATTTCTGTATGGCATCTGCGTGGCCTGTCCTGCAATTCTGCCGCTGCTGCTGGCCCACCTCTTGCAAAGCCAGCCATCGCCTGAGCTGTCCCACTGACCCACGTCCTGGTGATCGGAACAGGCAAGTAATCATCTTCTGGTTTGGGTTTGTTTAAATCTACGTTGGATTAAAAAAGGCATAAAATCAAGCTTCATTTCAGGAGGACAGGTCTACACTGCACTAGTTAGGAATTCTGTTTCCTAGAAATTTCAAGCACAAAAGGAAGATTTGGGAATTGCACGCTGAGACACTGACATACAGGACTCACATGGTAGGTACATCATGCCATTCAAAGAGAAAAGCTGTGTTGTGCTAGCATGGCCTTACAAAGTGTTGTCTATCAAAATCCACGTTCAAAAGCAAAGAGCTTGCTCTGCTTAAAAAACGCTCACATGTGGAACAAGAGATCAGGCAGGAAACTTCGGACCAGACGCCTGCATCGCTGCGGTTCGCATCACTCCGACGGCCAGGCTGGAGTTGCTGCTGGAGAGCAGCTGGTGGGTACTGCAGCAACCTCCTGGGAAGTGCCAGGACTGTATGAGATGTCACTTGTGTCATCAGGGACAGATGTGCTGCCCAGGCACTTGATAGGTGCTGTAATAAAATGCCTGGGAGGTTATGAGCTGATGTGTCAGAAAAGACATGCAATGTATGTCTACAAAGAGAAATTTCTTATGCTAAGCGGTCAGTTTAGGAGCGCTGAGAGGTTTCAGTGGAGCCATCCAGGCCTAATAGAAGAGGCTAAGAGGGGAGCACAGATTGTATTGGGTAGTAAAATGATTGGGGGGGGGGAATGTGTGTAAAAGATCAAGAGCAGGAACAGGAGCTCTTTATGTTATAGAAATGCCCATTTGTAAGACAATTGTTTCATACTTTTTAAAACTACACTGGAGGGAAGCAACTGCTTACTTGGCTACAACCACTCCCTTTTTCTACCTTTTTCCAAGTTTGTATGTTTTGGACTTTTTTTTTAATCTGGTCACACAACTGAGTAGTTGAAAGTTAGAACAGTACAGAAAGCTGTGACTATCACCTTGGGCTTGTTTTTTTTCCCCTTTTTTCCTATTCTGATTAATGACACACACCACTAGTAATCAATAGCATTAATCAAGATGTCAGGCTGAAGCAAGAACGTGAACCGCCTGCAAGCTGGGAGAAGGCTTGTGCCTTGGTTGTGGATATCCAGCTGCAGGTCTTTTTGCTCTCTGGAATGAGGGATCTTAGTGCCTCATGATTAAACGTGGTGGTTTTCTGCAGCAGGTTGCTAGCTGTGCTTCAGCCCTCTTTCTGTGGGGTGGGGTATCTGGATATCCCTCACTAGCCCCTCCTTCCTATGGACATTTCCTTGGCTTATTTCACCTTAGATTAAAATAGTTTAAAAAAAATAAATTGGTTCTGTGTTGCTGTTCAACATACCCCAATTCCCAAATGTTAACATCAGAAACAATTAGCAGGGGACCCTCCTCACTTAGTCCCTCATTCTGGTTAGTTTTTGAACTGTTTTCTTTCCTGCTTCGTTCCCCTACTTGTTGTTCAGCTCTGACACTGTAAGGAGACATCTGTAAGACGGCAGCCAGCTACAGTCAGATGTGCTGCAGTCACGTAACAGAAAAAAAATGTATGAGTGCTCGAACTTGGAATAAAAACCACACGTGTTGTGCAGCTGTATTGGAAAGAAGATCACTGAGGGAGATTAAATACTAAGTGCTTTAACTCTTGCACATTTAGACTGGTTTCAGTCAAACTCCAGCTGGTAGAGAGCCCACAGATGGAAACATTTGCAGTGACTGCTTCGTGCTGCTCGCAGAAGGCTTCCCTCACGCTGCTACTTTCCACTTCAGCTTGCAGCAGGCCAGCTGACTGCCTAATGATGCTCCTAATTTATGGTTGTGCTTGTCGGGACTTGCACGTTTTATTACTGTACCCATCAGGGGGGTTGCATTTCACTGAACTCCTCACAGTAAATCTTTGTTGCCAAAAACTTAGGGATGTTTGCACGGAGCAGGCTCTGGGTGTGAAGTCTCGCTTTACTGGAGCCCTCAGCCTGGGGGAGCGGAGGCATCGCTTTGTGCACAGCTGTGACAAGGGAGCCTTCAGAGCAAAGCGTGCCGGACACAGATGCTGGAATAGGTGGCAGCATCTCTTAAAGAAATTGTACCATGGAGCGAGGCTTTGCTGTTCCAGCGAGTGACTGCTGGTGTTCGCGATAAGATCAGCGCAGCAAGAGCTCTGAAGTCCCCTCTCGGCTTTGATTTCCCCTTTCCAGAGCAGGCAGGAGGCAATGGGACCTGCCCAGGGCTGTGCTCGATGGCTCCTTTACTCCTTCCAGCGTGCTGAGGTGAAGGGTGATGGTCCCATGAGGCCCAGTCCTGTAAGGCCCGTGTCACTGAGATGTGACTTCTGAAAAATACCAGTTGGTGGCAAGAGCATTGGCTGACAAGTGGCCATCTGTCCCTTGTTACTTGTGAACCAGACTTTAAACATCGTAGCCCTTCTGTAAAGGCTTGGTATAAAAAGTATTGCAGCCTTCCTGCACCTGCTTTCCCTGGCGGTGGGGCCACTTCTGGGCGTGCAGGTGGTGTTGGGGTCTCCTTTCTCACACTGCCGGAGCAGCAGCCGTGCTAGGCCCCAGCCTGCAGCACCAGGCAGGGAACAGCCCCGAAGTGCCCCGGCTTCCTCCTGCAGTTACGGGTATGGGCTGTGTGTGTGCAGGCCACAGCACCGCGTGGTGGCACTGCTCCCCCCGCAGCAGCAGCCTAAGAGAAGTGAAGGGTGCTGTGAGCACAGCGAAAAGCACTCTCCACCTTGCAAGTCCAGGATGGGGTGGCTGCAGAAATGCAGCCCGGGGACACCCTTGGGAGCAGCCCCGGTGCTTCCCTGCCTCTGTGGCTGCAGAGGCAGTGTGCTCAGTTACGGCTTCCCTAGAAAGCTGGAAGCAGACTAAAGCAGTGCAGGAGGCGAACTTGGTGATTTCTGAGTTTAAAAAATATATGTAGCTTTTAATTACAAAGGGAACGTGACCAATTTCCATTATCTAACAAGGGAGGTATTCAACATGTACCACATCCCTACCTGGCATATGCAAGGCACGGCTTGGGGCTCAGGACTGCAGCTGCTGTAATCCTTGCTGTGAGAGCTGTTGATAGCTTCCTTCTCTGCTGAACTGCAAGGCAAACTCAAAGCCTCTGCTCAGATTCATCATCACTTTCAGGGATTACTTTGCAGCTCTGAGTTTGGGTAGGCTTTAGTGTGCATCTTGTGATCACCAAGTGAAATGGCACGCTGGGCAGTGCTGAGGTTCAGGTGATTCGTCCTGAGCTACCTCAGCTTTTTTGAAAAGTCCACCTTCAGTTAGCGTAGCTGGGCACTTGTTATGTCATAGTTAGGAAACAACTGGTGCAGACATTTACTGAAGAAAATCAATACAGAAAGTGTTACCTTTGGGTGCCCGGCTAGATCAGGACATCTCAGTAAACTGGATGAGCAGTGATTGTCGTTCCTTATGTGGTGCACCAAAAGAAGTGGCTTTGATGCTAGCTGGCTTCATCGGCGCGTATTTGTTCTCATTTCTGAGGTATCGTTTCCTGGTCTTTTTCCTTTGAAGTCGCACAAGTGTTTCAGTTATTTTCTTGTACTTACCTGCTAATATCAGAAGTGCTTTGAAGCACCTGAAAAGTTTCTGCAGTTTAGGATAGGACACGATTAGGGATAGGATAGGATTAGGATAGGATAGGCCAGGACAGGACAGGATAGGACAGAACAGGATGGTTGGCAGGGGTTTTCAAAGATCCCCAAGTCCAACTGCCTGACCACTTTCTCACCAGAAGCACGTTACTGGGAGCGTTATACAGGTGCCTGCTGACCACTGGCAGTGCCGGGACGTTACCCTCACTGTGTCGCCTGTGTCACCGTCTGCCCACCCTCACAGTAAAGTTAATCTGGTAAGAAAAAAGATGAAGTTGTTTAACCTCACCTTTTCCCAGGCTATGCAGCTGGAGGCTGTGCTTACAAACATCCTCTGAGAGGTGTGAAACTTCATTTACTCAGCTTTTACCTTTACCTCATGCAGGAACGCATCTGCATCGTCCTGTGCTCAGCATTTTAACAGGCTGCTTTAACACTGGAGCTGGACACTGCTTTGAATGTCTACGTGCTTTCAATGGTCTGGGACCATGTTGCCAAGATTATATCAGGAGTTAAGTATCTTGCCACAACCAATTTTACCTTCTTGCTTCTCTTCTGAAGCAGCTGGCACTGGGCTCTGCTAGGAACCTGCTGCTGGTGCACGCAGCCCTGCGGGGCAGCTCTGTTAGTAGGTCCCAGGGGTCATTCTAGTGACTAGCACTGGGACTGGAGAAGTAACAAAGCCCCTGAAGAGGTGAAAAAGGGTGAACAGTATGAACAGAACTAACAAACCCACGAAACGTGTAATACAGGTAGGTTCAGGCCATGGGGCTATGATTCTGATGCTGTAGATGCTCGACACAAGTGAGTTCAGCAGCAGCGAAGTACCAGTTTCATGGCTCTCTTCAGGGGACTTGGGAAACACAGTGGGAAAATATGAGGATTAAGCAAAAGCATAACAAATTAGGACCTTGTGCATGAAGAAAGGGTTTTGGGGTGGTATGTGCTATTTAGAAGTCCACCTTTTGTATGGTGACAAATCCTCTACGCTAGCTCCTTCTGGACTTCTTGCTGAATGCATTTATGAACACCCAGTGACAGTCGGGCATAAGCAGCACCAGGATACTGATACGAACAGTAGTATGAAGTTTGTTTACAGCCATTTATACAAACTTGATCAATCCAAGATACGTGTAAACCAGCTATAGCAGCCAAACAAAATTCATTTTGCAGTGAAGCATTTTCTGTTGTGTTTCAAAAAGAAGTGTGTCACCTCCCCAGCACTGCACACC